TGCCATTGGGTTTGGTTTTTTCCATAAGCCCTGGTAGTCGATACAGTTGTCAGGCCAATCAAGGAGGGAGGTGACATGGAAAATGCAGTGACTTGAGCCCTTAATCCCGCTTAAGACATGATATTAGCTGTCATGCTAGACTGAAAAAGTTTGTGCATGTCAGCTGTATACTGTATATACAGAAAGTGGACGCTCCTTGTTGACACTGAATTGACTTCTTCAAGCTCAAAGTATATTGGCGGCAGTCCGTGAGCCATCAATTAAAGCCAGAACTGTGTCTTCACATTACAACTGGTATATGATATCCGATCGAGGCTACTGGTTTCAACCAAGGCCAAGTGAGGGGCGAGAGGAGGGAGGGGAGGGTCCTCGGGGGGATGCTGGAGGGTGTGTGAAGCAGTGGCCTGCGTGCCGTCGACCAGCCGCCCGAGGGGGAGGCACATGGTGCCAACAGCTGCCATGGTGAAACGCTAACCCCTCTAAATACTCCGTCCGGTAAACAACGCCGGGCTGAACACATGCCAATGGGGGAGCCTGGGTGAGGAAGGGGTGAAGAGGGTGAATGGGGCGACCCAGCTGACGCCGTGGAGAAAGGAGAATTGACCCCTGTGAAATGGCTTATTAAAGCGTGGTGGTCCCCATTCTGGGGGGCCAACCAGGATAAGACAGTGAGGGAAACTCAAAACCCTCTTTGGCAGACTGAGCACTGTGCATGCCGCAAGCCACAGACAGGAAGCCCCAGATCCAGGACATACTTTCATTGGATGTATTTACACATACAGAACACACCGCATGCATGAAATACTGACGACGGATGGTTTTATTTTCATTGCGGTCCCCAAAGACTAATCATGCATGAGTTTATTCTTATCTTACAACTGGATGCTGGGTGGAACAAGATTTGAACTCTGCTAAGGATCCGTCCTTCTCCTCTCAAATACAATGCATTCAGATCCATGTGTGGCTTCTTTTACCATTTAACTTGATAAATTAAGTGCACTCTGCGAAGCCTGTTGCAGCCATTGGAGCCGCTAAAGGTTCCCATGCCCTCAGGCCCACTAGGGAGTGGCAGGAGCAGATGTGACGTCTGCACTCCTCCTGCTTGTAAAACAATCCGTCTCCCACTTGAGAAAACATTACTTTCCACCTCCATCGTCTCGTCCCATCACTCTCCCTTTAATCAACATGAAAACAAAATTATCCCTAATTTTGTAATGCGATAATTCCATCCAGTCCTAATTGATGGTTAAATGTGATACAGAACCGTTAGAGTAATCTAATAACTACCCTTCAATCTGTCATTTCATTTCGCTCTAACTACACTTTTCCTATCTTACACTCAATAATGCACACACACACACACACACACACACACACAGACACAAAAAACAAGAATTCGCTGGACCAAAAAAATTAATTAAACTTCTTACCAATCTTGAACTTCGTTCGCTTAAAAATGTAAAATCAAATAGCTCATAATGAAAGGCAAAAACTAAATCTGAATCAGCATACAACTTTTTTTCCACTACTTTACATCTGTCTATTGGCAAGTCAGCTGCCTCACCATTGTTTTATGATAAATCACCTGAGCAATGACGCCCCCATCTGGTTGTGCTCGAGATCCTGAAGGCCGCGTAGCCCGTTCACTGCTTTCTCTTGGTTCCCTCACGTTACAGCATCCTTCGTGTGAAACAGCATGAACGCAGGTGTAATTAATTACCTCACTAATGACTGCATTTGATTTAGGTGTGCCAGTTACTTGTACATGCTGGCTCACTGGCTTCCTTAAATGTTATTAGTCACAGCTGCGCTTTACGTGCCAACAAAAGTCAAAATGTGAACTGGGGGAAATATGAATTAAGGGCAGACCATTTCTACTCAACTAATACTAATACTAATACTATTTCTGAAGAAATTATTGCATGTTTTACTCTATCACATTTACCTTACAGTTATGCCAATTCCTTTTTCAGTTTAAAACAGTCGATTTAAAACATGTGAAATGTTTATAACATATGATACACTGTTATAGGCTAGACTCCACAGATTCCAACTGTATAAAAGTCTTGTCACTCTAAGATCAAAACTCAGCTCACCAGCAACCGAAGAACAGAAAAGCCACACTCTAAATAAAAATGCAATCAGTGTTAAGTCTTATGTACAAGATATTTGAAGCCAGTAACTGTGATACTTTCAGTGGTTCTACTTCCTTCTAAAAGACTGCATCCGTGCAAACAATAACACAGCAGCACCAGGGGTAGGTTTCTCATGGCAGTAACTTGAGCACTGGTTTATAATAAAGGGATGCGAGAGATTCTCTGATAGTAGATGTTCGACTACCATCCATCTAATCTTTGCATCCTGTAGTTTAAAACCAGGCCCGCACCTGCCCACACAATCTTTTCTATCACTCTATTAACCACAACTCTGTGTGTGTGTGTGTGTGTGTGTGTGTGTGTGAGAAAGACACAGAAGATGGGATTCTACACCTAAATATTTGTTATTCCCTTCTCCTCCTCCTCTATCTTAGTCATCACACACCTGCAGAACGTGACAGCTGATTACAAGCATACGTGCCCCAGCAGGGATGAACTCCCTCCGGAGACACTGTTCAGGGACCCTGTGCCATTAACAAACCACAGGCCTCAGGCTGACATTTGGGGGCTTATCAGGAGTTTAGACAGTGGTTTACCAAACATTAACCACTCTCCTGGCTTTTCCTATAAACACGACCTTAATGACAGACCAGACAAAGTCTCTGAGGACCAACACTGTTAGAGTCACACGCTGCGTACCCACAGGAAGTGATGCAGGCCATAGATAGCGCAGATTTGCCGTGGACGACTTTATTGAAGTGACATGGAGAAGTGCTCGTTGCAAATTCAGCATGCAGGAATAAGATGAAACGTGAAATGAGAAGAGGGAGGTTTGCGAGGGTGCAGTTGTTGTTTTCTGTGGTGGGTGTGAGTGTGTACATACTGTGCATGCATGTAAAACCTAAAAGGCAGTTACAGCACTGCATCCAGTTATGTGGTTACACTTCACTTCACCCCCCCCCCCCACCCAACGCATTTAATGGATGTTTATAACACACTAAAATGTAGTTGTAAACGATAAGGAATTTTAATGGTTTGTTGTCAGCAATTGCATTACGTTCATTATTCTGTGTTTTGATGTCTTATTGTTATTAATAAATCCTATGTTAAAATTAAGTAACATCAACTTTAGCTGAAATAATGAATTTAGTAATGCATTACATCTGTAGGATTTATTACATATTTATCCTATTGTGATAATAACTATACTGCACTCTGATAAGTTGTCACATAATCAGCAGCTACAGCGCTGAAGATTACTCAACACACTCATCCTACACCGAGAGGACCAGCCAGGGGTTTTTAGGTGTTAACGTGAGGGTCTGTTCCAACCTGCCCCTTGTCTCCAGACACAGTCTAGTGCGAGGGTAGGTTTCGGTTGACAAGTCTGAGCGAAAGTAGAGAAAAAGAGGGTGTGTGAACAAAACATGAATCTGTGTGTATCGTGTTTGAACTCTGCACTAAGAGTGTTTGGTTTTCTCTCATTTGTGCTACTTGCCGACAACTTGTCCAGAGCTACTTATGCATTTCCTTTAAAAGAGGAGATGACTATAATGAATTTTCAAATAGAGACTACGTTTCCTGTAGTTTGCTAATGATGAAGGACTGGTCTGGTGGTTGCAGGGAAAGTAAAATAATGTATAACTATTAGTAAGGTGAAATATGTATTCACTGTACAACTGTTACATGCTACATGCTTCAAGAATGATTTATTTTGACATGTATATAATAACATATTATAATGTGTTAGTATCAATCACGGATCCCAAACATCTGTATTTGCAACTATGAATTCTAATTTAAACTTTTAGTCATACATTTAAGAAAAATGTAAGTTGCAATAAGTATTGTTTTAATTGAATCGTAGCCAAAGACTTTCTACTTTAAACTTTCCAAAACATGACAATTTTTGATGGAAAGGGGGGCAGGTAGTATTTTAATATTGAAATACACTGCTAGACTCCATACTCTAGTCTTGTCTAGTTGCGTGACAAGTATCAGAAATGAATCAAAACTATTACATTTTTCGAAAAACAAAAAAAAAAACAATTATTATTCCTGATTGTGGTTCATCCCTTCATAGTGTATTATATTTATCACATCAAAGCGCTCCCCCCAGTGGACAAATGTCCACATTACCTGCAGTCCTCAAATGTTGCTGGTCTTTCACTTTTGGCTCTTATCTTTGGTACTATAATATATTTCATAAGGAGTATACTATAATCTGTTGTTGCACATACACGTATGTGAATGTCATATGTGTATGATATCTGTGTATATTTATATATATTTTAAATACACTGCTTTGATCTGGAATATAGGGAAACTACTCCGTTGGTTTTGCATTAATGCATCATTTGTTCACACTGGTGTAGGGTGATGTAGCATTTTAACTTGATTTATGTGTAATTTATTTGTGTTTGGAGGTATTGCCGCACTCAAATTCAGCCCCCCCATTAGCCCCATTAGGAACAGCCAAGCCACCTGGCATGAACCACACATACATGTCCACTTCTTGAGAACAGCCAGGATATGGTTTAATGTTTCTTTGCATTTACTGCCCTGTAGCTCTCAGTGCCCTATGACGTTACACCACTTACAAAAGATAATTCATGCGCTCTTAACTGCCTATATGTCCTGATGGCCACGCCTGGGTGTAAACACCTGCAGTATACATACATTTGTAATCCCCTTTTACTCAAGTGTTTATTAGAATTCAGTTTAATTTCCATTTGAATTCCAGTTTGCCTGATTAACTGGGACAAAATCTTTTGTTTTCTGTAGAATGCCAACAATTGAACTGAAATTAGATTAACATAAAACAAACTTGTGGATGCACATGAGTTGATTCAGATAAATACACAAAACTTACCTTTAACACGCCCCGGCCGTAGTGACGCAATGGGTGTTTGGCCCGTGACGCGGCATGTACACGTAGCCTAGTAGGATGTGTTCCCTGAAGATGGTGGCGGTGTGTCAGACTCACTGTCCTGCACATTTGTAAGAATTTAATTATTTTTTCTACACATTTCCGACATCGGGTAAGAGTAAATACACACCATCGTTAACAATGCTTCACTCTGAACGTTTCGATCTGGTGTATATACAACAGGCATGAAACTGTTACCCTTGTAGTTAGCATAGGCTAGTTAGCAAGCAATGCTAACTAAGCACTGATGCTAAGGCTAGCTGACCAGGCAGTGAACCTGTTTAGATTACACCAGCGACCTGTAACTGTCCGGCATTTGTCCCGGTCAGTGTTATATAGGATCGGAAGCATAAGTCCTTCGTTTTGGGGGCAATCTTTAGGCGACAGGCGACTTTAGATTGCAGTGTTTTGATGGTTATGGCGTTCAGGACATGTAGCGTTTGAGCTAGTTACCGTTAGCTGTCGAGCCAAAGCACTCTGGACCTTTCCTCACAGACTGCTTAATGTAATTTGATGTCGTGTCAAAACAAAAGGTGTTCGCTAACGTTACCGGTTAGAGTTCAACAAGTGTGGATAATGATCGGAAGTCGATAGTGTGTATCTCAATAGCTAACTTTGTTTTGTTTCATGATGACTGCCCCGGTGAGTTGGTAGTTTACCGGGTTTAATTTATAATCTGGACGGTTTGAAATATCCTGGATCACATTTAGAGCTCGTCTGTCCAAGAACTCTTTCCTACTAACGCTCTCTGTTATTGATATACCTTTCTATCATTTAAAATGCTCTGTGTCAGTCCATGCTAGCTCCCCCGAGCTTCTCACTGACAGATTCACAGTGTTTGTATCCGATAGATGTGATGATCTCATCAGTTTACTTTGTCTTTTGTTTTGTATTTATGGCATCTTTATTAAAATGTCTTTGCCAGCAACTAACCTTATCAACAAAAGCGATACAGCTGCGCAAAAGCACAAGTTAGCAGCAGGGCTTATTTGACACTTTTTAGTTAACTGCTACATCAGCCAGTTCCTGTTTAGTAACTTCAGTCCTAACATCAGCTTTCCTTTCCTTTCCTATGTCACTATGCTATTTGTCAGTAGTTTCTAGAAGCCACTAGACTCACAAGGTTTTTTTTTTTTATCAAGAATGAATCCGTAATTCTTCAGAACAGTTCTTCCAACAGAATTAAATAAGCCTTTGTATTTGTTTTTGGTGTTTGAGGTAGATGAACTATACTCGGAGTGCGTGATGTAATCAAAGTTGCCATTCACTACAATCAGTCAATTGTGTTTTACTCAATGAAGTACTGTCGTGTTATTCATAACATCTCAGAGCTGATGTAGAAATTGCCACGTTGTACCCTTCGTTTCAATAAAATCCTAGCCCATTACACAAATAAAGGTGTGGTGTAATCCATCCGAGAGGCATGTGTATAGCTTACTGTTAACCACTCCCTCTTTACTTTTCTTTACGCAGCTTTGCCTGACTTCAGTCGCTTCAGTGACATCTACTAAAGTGACCTGGTCCTCGGACCTGTTAGCCCTGCAGCCATGCAGCCACCTCCTCGGACTGGACCTTCGGGGGCCTCGGGCCCACCTCCTTCTGGGCCCAATATGTTCCGCAGGACCAGGCCTCACAAGCATCCAGCAGCTACTGCCACAATGCCACCTGCTACACAACCCATGACAAATCCTTTTGCTTTTGTTGGAGCTCCTCCCCCTATGGCTGCAGGTGGTGTCCCAACAATACCCAACAGCAACCCTCCACCAATGCAGGCCCCACCCAACACCATGTACTCTCAGGCTGGCTCGGGGCTGCCTCCACAACCACAGACACTGGGGGATGTCCCAGCTCCTCTTCCTGGTCCCCCACCCTCCTCTCTACCAGGGGTGACACTGTTCAACCCTCACAGTGCAGCATCCCCTGTTTACTCAGCACCCAGTCCTGTAGGATACGCATCCTCGCATAGTGAACAGGGCTATTTTAATTCTACAGAACAGACACCATCCATGGCTGCAGAGCCACCTCCTGTGGCCCCGGCACCGGGTCAGACACCTTTTAACCAGGAATATCAAGGACAGCCTGCTCCTCAGCCCATGTTGTTCCAGCCTGTACCTCCCACCTCCTCCTGTTCTCAGTGGGCCCCTGATCACGGAAGTCGCCCTCCATCAGTTCAGAACTATTTCCAGCCTACTAGTGACCCTCCACCACAGCCTTTCACTTTACCTCCACAGACCCAGATGTACCCCTCCCACACCTCATCGCCCCATCACAACACCCCCACCCCTCCAACACAACCTGGACATCCCCAGGTTCAAGCTCCTCTTCCTCCCCAGAACCCTGTAAATGCCCCCAGTTCTCAGTGGCCTGACCCAAATGCACCCCAGCAGCATAATTTCCACTTCCAACCTCAGAGCTACTTCAGTCAGACTTCTGCCCCCCAGGACTCATGGTTCAATATGCCTCCACAGGACTCAGGCTACCACCAAATGGGGACCGGCCTAGCCCATCCTCAGCCCCGGCCTTACTCTGTTGGATCTCAACATGTGCCCAACACTGGGGCTGGGGCTAGTTCTGCCCCTGCCCCAGTCCATGCCCCATACTCTCAGGAGTCTGGTGCACTCTCAATGTTCTTCAAAGACAATGATGTGGAAAATGAAGAAACACTGGCTGGAGATAGAAACAAGGCAGTGAATGGTATCCCTGGATCTTTTCAGCATCAGAGCAACCCACAAGCCCACAGTGGCCAAGCAGATGTTCCTTTGGATTATCAAGGACCTCCTCTGCAAGATCATTCACACCTACCATACATGAATGATGGCAACCATGCTCCACAGGCAGGTACCCATAAGACTCATGATTCCCAGTACGACCATGTGGAGAATTTGGAGTGTGTCCCGAACCAGGAAGTATTACCCAGTGATATTCATGGCAGCCCTGCTGCTACAGCAGCACATGGAGTTGACCAATATGAAACCGGGCCTAACCTCGAGACTCCCGACTCTATTCAAAGACCAATTAGATCGGCCAGTGTGTCATCCAACTATAGCAATATGAGCCATGGAAGTGGAAGTGGCACTCGACGGCAACAGGGAGTAGTAGGCACCTTTATTCAGCAGGAAAGCCCACGTCTCACTGATGACGCTAGCCTGTTTGCTGCCACTGGAGGCTACTTTGAGCAGATTGATTCTTCTCCAGCTGTAGATATGGGTGTGCAACAGAGCTCCCTGGAGCAGATGTGGCCTCCCACACCTAGCCCCCCAAAACCAACTGGCATCTTTCAAGCCAGTGCTAACAGCTCTTTTGAACCTGTACGCTCTCATGGGGTTGGGGTGCGTCCTGCTGAAGTTGATAGGGCTAAAATGGTCGCGGAAATGGGTGCAGATGCTACACCTGGCAACCTGGAGCAGCCACCAGATAATATGGAAAATATTTATGGCTCAGGACACCCCCTTCCTGCTGGGGCTGGTGGTGGTCTCCCTCATCTGCCACACCCAGTGATTCTCTCTCTCTCTCGACCGTCATCCCGTGCTTTCGGGGGCAGTCGGCCCTGTGAGAGCCCTGCCACTACTCTGTGGGCTCAGCATGACCCTACCAGCTTGGCCGCTGGCATCCTCCTCGCCCCTGCTGCCCCAACGGTTCTCGCTCCTTTACGAGAGCCCAGTGCTGATGTCATCCAACCTCCAGAGGATGGCGCACTGGACCTGCAACCCTCTCAGAGAATCCAGCCAATGTCACAGCAACACTCAGAGAACCTAGAGAACCCACCAAAGGTCAGTGAGGCAGAGCCAACTGACCCTCAAGGCAACCTGGGCTATGCTTCTCTCCTTGTGTCCGACTCGCTCGACCAGCCTGTTTTGATTGCCCCGCCTGTGTCCAATCACATTGTGATCGCCCCCAGTACCCCTGCTCAAGCACCCAGTCAAAGTAGCCTTAGGGAAACAACCCCCCCTGTAAGAATTGTCACACAGGGACAGGGTGCCAGTACCTCCCAACCACCTCCAATGACCTCCAATCACAATCCAGTGTTTGCTCCTGGACCTATAAGCTTCAATTCTTCTGCCTCTAACCAGGGCCCGCTCAATCTGACCCGAGACCACACGGAAGCGGCAACATCGGACATTATAGCTCCGCCGCAGTCTCAGCAAGTCCGCCCTCCTCTCTCAAGGGGCCAATCGCTGGCTGGAGTCAGCCACTCTGCTCTCCAAGTTAATCCACAGGCTTCTCTTGTGACTGCTCCCGTCTCTAATCATAATCCGCCGTCAAATTATGAACTGCTTGATTTTTCTATGCACCAATCACAAGCCCAGAATCAAACATCTGGCCAGCCTTCCTCTCTACACGAGTCTCCACAGTCTAGTAATGGATTTTACCTACAGGTCACCAAAGATGCTCAGCAGGGGGTAGGAGTGCAAGGGAATGTCCCTTTCCAGATGCCGGCCTCTTCATCTACCCCACAGGTACCACCAGCACCCTCCCAAGCAGTTGCAAACATCCAGCCGCCACCAGCTGAACCCCCTAAGACATCAGACCCTCAGGCTGCACTGCAGGGACAACATTATGCTCCTCCTGTTCCAGGGAGTGGAGCACAACCCTCCAGTGACCAGTATCCACCTCCAGCACAGGGGCCCGCTGCGGGGAGTGCTCCCCCATCCACTGCTGCATACCCCCCATGGCCTCGAGGACCAGTACCTCCAGGAGCTTCCCAGCCAGCTCCTGCGGAACCACCTCGACCACCCTCCTCTGCAGGCAGTCAGCAAGGCTATGGGCCCCCTGCTCCAGTGCCTGGGCTGATGTATGGTGGCTATTACGGTAATTATGGAGAATACCCGGATGGCAGAGCACCATATCCACCTGGCCAGTACCCACCACCACCACCTGGGGATCCTAGAGCACAGCAATATTATCAAGTACGTGAAACTTTTTTTGGTTTGCTCTCTTGTAAATGTATTCATCTGCAACTTCTGCCGTGGGATGTAAGAAATTAAACCGAAACTCCCTAATTGCTCTTATCTTTCAGGATGGTCCATACAGGGGCAGAGCAGATCCGTGGTATGGCAGATATGAAGGGCAGATCCCACCGCAACGCGATCCAAACTACCAGTACAGAGAGCCTCAGCCAGAACGACCCAGCTCCAGAACTAGTCAGTACTCTGACAGGCCCTCATCCAGGTCTGTGAAACCATCATCGAGTATATGACACGTTAACGGTGCTGGCATATGAGCATATGCCAGCACTGTTATATTTAGTCGTTAATTTGTTTGTTGCAGTCCCTTTTTCTTGACCCGTAAAGCTCACCTTTTTGTTTCTCCCACAGGCAAGGCTGTCCTGAAGATTACCAGAGAGCCAACCAAAGTGCCTATAATGAATATTATGCAGAATACGCCAAACAATATGAATATGGAGGTATGAGCCATAGAGCATTGAAAGCTGTGATTACCTGCTAGTATGAATATGTAAAACAATTAGTTCGCAAAACACATTAATCCTTTTGTGTATATAAATGTTTTTGATATAATCTCCATATTTTCTGTGGGAAGGATACAACTACGGACAGTATGACCCCCGCTACAGAGGATACTATGATCCCGCCTACTGGGCTAATTATGATGAAAGCTACAGAGGCAGGGAGAACTACTATAATCCACAGGTGTATCCTGCCAGGTATGCAGAGAAACCCATTCATGTACATTTGAATGAAATTGTTGTTGTTACATTAATGCATTGTGGTGGACAGACAATAGATTCAAAATGGAAGGTTGAAGTTTATCTAAGTGTGATAAACAAACACGGTACACTCTGCTCACAGGAAAGAGGGCTATGATGATCAGTGGCGGTACTATCCCGGTTATGATGCCAGTTTCGATGACGATTACCGGCGACGTGGAGAAACGTACGCCGATGACTTCGACCGACGCAGTGTCCACAGCGAGCAGTCGGCACACAGCGCGCACAGCTCTCAGAGCCACCACAGCAGACGGAGCAGCTTCAGCTCACGATCACAACAGGTGAGTGTGCAGATTTGGTCTATTTTACCTGTTGGTGTTTTTGCCACTCTTAACTTACACTATTGTGACTTGCATAAAGTTGTCAGCATCATCCCAATAACTATCAGCAGCATAGACTTAAGATATAGATAGTAACCAGGCAAAAAACGTTTTTTGTGTCTTATTTGACGAAGGGCTAACTCTGCTCTCTTGAAATGAGTTTTTACACTTATAAACTGTTTGTTGTTGTTCTTGAAAATGTGTGCAACTTACAGTATGTGCGTGTTTACTTTTATGTTTTATTTGATAATTAACTTTATTGGTCTTCACGCCCTGCAGAGCCAGGTGTATAGAAGCCAGCCTGACTTAGTGTCAGCGGCCTATGACGTCACATCATCCACGCTGGCTGTGGACTACTCCTATGGACAGTACCCGGACCAGCCTGATGCCACCCAGAACTACAGCCAGTACCTCTATCCCTCTGAGTACATGGCAGACAGCACCTGGATCGCCCCTGAGCAACGTAAGTACACAATCCTTTATTGAACGGTAATGCCAAACAGAATTGACTCGAGTTCAGTCAAGTGCAAATGAAACCACTAGATTTGGGACATTATACAGGTTCCTTCATGCGTCCACCTGCTCTTAGTCTGACTGATGGTTTCCCTCTAGCTCCTCCACGTCCTTCAACCCCAGAGAAGTTCACCATACCCCACCGTTGTGCCCGCTTTGGACCTGGTGGTCATCTGGTCCAAGTTCTGCCCAACCTCCCCTCAGCTGGACAGCCTGCTCTCGTTGACATCCACAATTTGGAGGTACATTTTTAAAACATTGTATTTCAGAAGCTCATTGCGGGGGTGTTAGCGTAGGGTATTGATGTTGCTGTTGCACTATTTTGGGCATTCCTTCTTACAGAAAGACTGTTTCTTTTTTTAAAAGGAGCAGGGTACTGAAAACCCTGCAACCTGCAAACTCAGTAAAATGTCGCACCCTAACTGCTTCTTCAGGCTCTTGAGAACATGTTATGTATGCTGCTCAAACTGTCAGAATATTGTAGCTTTGCTTGTGATTTTTTTTTTTTTCTTTTATATGCATATAACAGCTTCACAAAGTTATGGCTGTTAATATAAAGTAATATTTTGATCCATATCTGTATTTGCAGACCATACTCCAAGACACCCCGGATCAGGCAGAACTACGAGCTTTCCCTGGACCTCTTGTGAAGTAAGTGCATGCTGCACTTCTTCTCCATCACAAAAGGCTTTCAGTCATTGACCTTTTAAAGAACAATGGTGGCTATGTTCTATATTTTGTTGTTGTCGGCGACCCCCACGAAAAGATCAAAACCATCAATGCATTAGTCTGACTTCCTTCACCTATTGGCCCATTGGTTCCTACTGAACGTGAAACATCTTAAAAACCAGTTAAAGAATATATAGTTTCTTTTTTCTTTTTAAGCATGAGCAAACCGGAGTAGATGGTGTATTTGCTGGGGCATTGGCTACACAGACAATACTTCACTTCATTCTTGGTTTTGGTCTTTTCAAGAGATTTTTTGATAAGAAGAACAAGTCACCACAAGTATTCATAAGACTTTCCGAGCGCTGCATATTTAGCTGCAAACTACCGATTTGGATACAAATACTGTGTATAAATGAGTTAAATGAGCAGTTTTTATTTGTCTCTTGATATCCGTATGTATAAAAGGTAGCACTGGTTTGACCAGCCGCAGCGAGTCTGTCTCACGTCTTGTGTCCTGTCCCTCAGGGAGGAGACCCATAAGGTGGACGTGATAAAGTTCTCCCAGAACAAAGCGCTGGAGTGTTCTCATGACAACAACCTCTTGGACAGGGACTCTGCCCGCCTGCTCTGGGAGTTCATTGTGCTGCTCTGTAGACAGAACGGGGTAAGAAGACTGTGCGAAACATAAGTGTGTCAAAGTAGGAATGTGACTTTTGTATATCTTTCCTGAAACAACCTCCTCACTGTCACACTCTCGTTTCTTAAGACCGTGGTCGGCACAGACATCGCTGACCTCTTGCTGAAGGAGCATCGCTCTGTCTGGCTACCGGGCAAGAGTCCAAATGAAGCCAACTTGATTGATTTTAACAATGAACCGCTGGCACGAGCCGAGGAAGAGCCGGGAGCGGGACCGCTGTCCCTCCTGTCTGACACCTTCATGATTGTCCCAGAGAACCTCGGCAAGGAAACGGAGCGCTTCAGGGAGCTGCTGCTGTTTGGCCGCAAGAAGGTAAAGAGAGACCCTCTTTCACTGCGTTATAGTCGGTTAACTATTATCTTGTAATCTGAAATGAGTTCCACTTTTGTCTGTGAAATAGGATGCGCTGGAAGCCGCTATGAAGGGAGGTCTCTGGGGCCACGCCCTGCTGTTGGCCAGTAAGATGGACAACAGGACACATGCACGTGTCATGACAAGGTAAAGCACCAGTGGCATTAAAATGTTGGGACTCCTAAACCTTGCTGCACCTGCATTCTGTGATCATTTTAACAGATTTAAAGATTATTTTGTCTGTTTGTTGTTTTAGGTTTGCCAACAGTTTGCCCATCAATGACCCTCTTCAGACAGTGTACCAGCTCATGTCAGGGAGGATGCCTGCATCAGCCACTGTAAGCGTTTCTTCGTCCCTCTCTCTCTCTTCAACACTTTTTCACGATCGTTCTGAAGAAGTCGCACAAGCTGTGTGTGTGTCTTTATTGCCACTTCAGTTGAGATGTGTTTCGTACTTGTACAGTGCTGCGGAGAGGAGAAGTGGGGTGACTGGCGCCCTCACCTGGCCATGGTGCTGTCTAACCTCACACACACCCTGGACCTGGACACTCGCACAATCACCACTATGGGGGACACTCTCGGTAGGATAGCAATAAATAAAACGCTGTCGTCTCTCACTGCACTGAGCTGATAAGGATTTCATTCTTTACCACAACAAGCACATTACCTTACATTCTCTCTGTGCTGATTTTTGTGGCAGTATCCAAGGGGCTGGTTGATGCTGCACACTTCTGCTACTTGATGGCTCAAGTTGGTCTGGGAGTTTTCACTAAGAAGAGCACCAAGATGGTTCTGGTTGGCTCCAACCACAGGTTAGAGACAGAGGTCCTTTTTTTTTTTTTTTTTTTTTTTTTGACCGCAACACAGTTTGCACATAATAAGCCACACACATAACCTCATCTTTTTGTTTCTTCACTTCAGTTTGTCCTTCTACCAATGTGCGACCAATGAAGCTATCCAGAGGACGGAGGCCTACGAGTATGCTCAGTCTCTGGGCTCCCAACCGTGCTCACTACCCAATTTCCAGGTAGATAAAATAGTTAATTGTACTATATTAAATAGGTCTGTGCAGACTTTCCCTACCACTACGTCATAGCACATGATTTAAAGGTTCTACTACTGAGGAATAACACTGTTCTCTAATCTGTATTGTCTGTTATCAGGTGTTCAAGTTGATCTATGCATGCCGCTTGGCTGAAGCAGGCCTGAGCGCTCAGGCCTTCCACTACTGTGAAGTTATTTCTAGGAACGTCCTCGTGCAGCCTTCCTATTACTCTCCTGTCTTCATAAGCCAAATCATACAGGTATATGCACTCGCTCTCCTCCTTGGCTACCACTCTGTAGCTCCTCTGCTGAGAAACGTACTCGCTTTAGCATTCTAAGAAATGTAATTGTAACGCTGTATGTTGACAGATGTCGGAAAAGCTGCGATTCTTTGATCCGCAACTGAAGGAGAAGCCGGAGCAGGAGCTGTTCAATGAGCCTGGATGGCTGATCCACCTCAGACAGCTGGATGGACAGATACGGGTGAGGAGAAGGAAGAAACATGTTAGTAGTTCTGCGGGAGGATTTTCAAAATAAAGCTTTTTGTTTTAGTAGTATGTTTTCAGTGTATGTAATGATGTGCTACTAGGACTTGATTTTGACCATAATTGAAGACCAAGAATGAATCAGTTTTTTCAAACTGTGTGAATTTCAAAATTCCAACATTTTATTTGACGTAGAGGTTGTGGGATTGTTATAACATGTAGAATTATTCTCTCTCATTTGTTCCCATGTAGCAAATGCTTGAAGCTTGTCTTTTATTTAATTATTGTTTTTCAGACGGGAGTGATTACATACAATGAAGACAGAGCAACTCCGACACAGTACGACTGCAGCAGCCCCAGCTCTGACTTGGACCAGCTGAGTCCACCTGAACCTTACAGCATGCCTGTGGAGTTGGATGGCCCCACCCCCGACAACCCACTAATGAGCTCATTACTTCCCGGGCCTCCACCGCAGGGAGTTCAGCTGATGCCTCCAGGTGTGTGTGTGTGTGTGTGTGTGTGTGTGTGTGTGTGTGTGTGTGTGTGTGTGTGTGTGTGGTGTTTCTTGTAGTTTCCTTTTTAACCTCACTTTAATATGAACCAGATTCAGGATGCATCAGATCTCATATCTTCTACTTTCTCTCAGCTCCCACCTCTATCCTCCAAGACGGGATGTCCCCTCCCCAGCATTTACCCTCCAATGAAGTGCCCCAGTTCTACCCAGTACCCCCCAGTGGACCACCAGGCCAGATGGCCCACTCAGGCTACCCTCCACAGGATCCTGGCTTTGCCCCCCCTCCCTTCCAACCGCAACAGGAGCAGGTAGAGATGTTCCCAGGAGCCCATCAGCAGCCGTGTCCCGTGCCTCTTCAACTGGGCCAAATGTCACCACACATGCACCCCCCTCAGGTGCCGCATTCACCAATACAGATGAACCCCCCGCTACCCCAGATGCACCGTAACATGCCCCAGCACATGCCCCCTTCTCCCGGGCACATGCCACCTGCAGAGCAGATGTCCTACGCCCCACCAGAGATGCACGCTGCTCAGCCGATATCATCCTCTCCACCCAGGAGCTCCTTCACACCACAGATGGACTTCTATGACCACATGGCTCACATGGTGAGTATCTGGCTGTATGCACATCTAACAAAGTATTATGTATAGCCTTCTGCCTTGCTTTTGTGTTGCGAGTTTGATAGAAAATAATAACCTAGTTGTCTTTTCTGGTGCTGCAGGGTCCAGGGAGGAGGTCGAGGACTACTTCGCAATCTTCAATGCATATGGTGCGTTCGTGTGTCGCGTTTAAACTGCTAAAATAATTGGATTTTGCACTTGTTTTCAGAACTGATGTGAAACAGGTGTTTTCATTCTCCTCGGAAAAAAATGGAGCTTAATTGTTCATGGTGTTTAAACTTGGCTTTAGTTTCCAGAAAATGAATTGAATCTCTACAATGTGATTGTTAGACTCATGGACATGAAAAGAAAAGAAAAAGATAAGGCACCCCAAAAAGCAGCTCTTTCTGTGAGATGCCCAAAAGCAAGGTACATGTATATGTGTGTTATTCTGACCAGTATTTTCTGGTCTGCAGCCTTCAGGACGCCGCTCTCGCACCACCTCCGAATCTTCCACTCATTCTGGCGGAAGAGAGCGGAGCAACTCGGTTATCAAGCAGGCCTCTCCACCTCCACCTTCGATTCCTGAACAGCCCCGCATAGAAGAGGCCAAGAAAGCCAAGAAAGACTCCCCGAAAAAGGTTCATATTCAGACATTAACCATTTATATCCTGTGTCAGTGCTCCTACAGCGTTCATGGGTGATTACCAGTGCTGTTTCCTGTCTTTCACACAGGGTAGTGGAGGAGGAGGAGGAGGAGGAGGAGGTGGTAGTGGTGGTTGGCTAAACTGGCTCTATAGGAAGGGGAAGAATGAGGCTCACTTGCCAGATGACAAAAACAAATCTGTAAGTTATAGCTTTTATGTGTGCAGGTCTTATTTTTAGCATTCTTCTGTATTCATTGTCATATTTTTGCATGAGTTTTGTTTCTGTCCCACTACGTGTGAGCTGTACTAAGGGCCGTATGTTCTTTACTGTCAGATCGTGTGGGATGAAAAGAAGCAGAAGTGGGTCGACTTGAACGAGCCTGAAGAAGAGGTCTGTAATGACAGATTCATATTTTGAAGCAGACTGACTGTTGAAAGCTTTATAGATCAACCAGTTCTCTTTTTATTTTATTTGTATTTTTTTTAGAGTAAGCCCCCTCCACCTCCTCCCCCTGGCGTTCCCAAGATGCCTATGATGCCCAGCCACGGAGGGCCTGCCAGACCCCCGGGTAGTGGTCCTCCTGTCAACATGTTCTCCAGGAGAGCAGGTGAGATGAGGGCTCTTCAATGTGGCTTTTGGCTTGACAAACTCTGTGCTTGACCTTGCATAATACTTTAACTACAAGTTGTTAAGAAATCAGTCAAGGAGACCACATATTGTCGTACTAGTCAGTCAGCTTTCACACTTGTTTTCTCTTTCTTCTCAGGCACGAGGAGCAGATACGTGGACGTTCTGAACCCCAGTAGGATTGCTAAACCGGGCGGATTAGGCCCTGCTCCTGCAGACATCTTCGCTCCTTTGGCGCCAATGTCCATGCCCGCTAACCTATTTGTGCCTAGTTCAGGTGCGTGTCATGTGTCAGAAGTAATTACAGTGAAATGATGATTGTAAATTAACCGGTCTTAGTTTATGATTGCTGCAAATGGTTTTGTTTGATTTTGGAAGCCACTGTACAATTAAAGATTGAAGTAATAAAATATTCTTCTGTATCTCTGGTTTAGCTCCTGACGATCAACAACCTCTAGAAGGCAGCGAAGGAGGGAATCTGGAGCAGAATTCACCAAACGCCATCGCTGCTACACAGGTATCTATTTCTCTTTACTGGTGAACCTAGTGAGTTTAAAATGTCATACTTTTCATATAGTGTAATTGTTGAAATGTGAAATCAAAGGACAAGTTCACTAAAATATATGTTGTGGAATGAATTAGTGAGCTTTACATGTGCTGTTAGGTGTGTTTTATCAGGTGATTCACCTTTAGACAGAGCCAGGATAGCTGTTTTGCTCTGTTTCCAGTCACTATGCTAAGCTAAGTTAGCCACCTGCTGGCAGAATGCAAAAAAACGTATTTCCTCAAAATGCTGAACTTTCTACAAGGAGCGATGTTTGAGTGCTTTCTTCTTCAAATAGAGCACCTAAGATACAAGAGTCTTTATAACATGTCAAGATGGCAGATAAGCTCCTTTAGCCGGTCAACATGAAGTACAAAGCTGAAGCTCTACTCATCCACCTTCCCCTCTGATGCACTCTAATTAATCCGATTAGATGTTCAACCCAACGTTGTTACCGCCTGCCCCAGAAGGTCCTCCCGTGCCTGATGGCTCACAGTCCGGGGAGGTAAGACACGTTTCTCCTGTCCGCTGCTACTGTAGCCACCATCATCATGCCACCACTGACCCATGACGCTCGCCAGCTTAACAGCCAGTGCGTGCAGTGTGCTTATCAGTATGAATGTAAGATGATGTCAGAGGGTGAAGGAACATGGGAATGCATGCATGTCGACTTAAAATCTTTCCCCATAAACTCGCTAAATGCGCAGCCTTGATGCAATGTTGAATCTGTGCTCCATTTGTTGTTTTAATCTAATTCTCTCCATGTCTGTTTATCCAAAGAATCATAATTTTCTATCGCTAATTGTGTTCATTTTCATTCTGAACTGTTGGATAGTGGAAACAGATCTAAGCTGCTGCATGGGAGATTGATAATATGGGTTTGTGGTTTGTGTTTTTGTTGTCGACTGTTTATTTCCCTTCTGCTGTCTTTAGCTCTCACGTTCTAGCTCAATGAGTTCTTTATCACGCGAAGTGAGTCAGCATTTAAACCAGGTACCTCCAGCTGGGCCTCAAATGGTCCACTCTCATCCCCCGCCTGCCGCCCACATAGCTCACCTCGTCACAAGTAGCACGCTTCACCATTTGCACCCGAAGCTTCACCGCCCGTCTAACCCAGGATGTCTGCCGGCTCACCTGCCCGCTGTCTCCAGCATTTCTAACGTAACTCTGTGTATGTTAAGAACAACCAAACCCGGCGAACGATCAACAAATTTAAACAAACCGACCAAGTGGTCGTGACCACGATTAAGTTCCTTATCTTTATCTGGTGCCATCAAAAGGTCAGAATATAATTTGTCGGATAATTTGGTTTATGAGCAAATATTCTTATCAGCCTCGGCTGTACTTTGTTCTAGCAGAGATCAGAGTGAGGCGTTCTGGAGACAGGCAGCTCCCTTGCTTGTTGTCAACACACAGCTTCAATAACCCGTCATAAAGCTTGCATGGTGACTGAAATACATGAAACGGTGGTCTGTCATGCTGCCTCCCTGTGAATCATAGTGCTCGTTGCCATTACTTTTCCTTGACGTCAGTTTTCAAATGTTGTCCCCCTCGACCTCCTCTGCCCATAGAAGTGATACGACGGTGACACTGCACACACTGTAGTGACTCCGTTTGTTCTTTGCAGAGTCATGTCCAAGCGCAGGAAACGGCACCCGCTGGAGGCGTCACCTTTTATAACCCTGCACAGTTTGCACAGGTGAGAAAATACAATAGTTTAGTCTGTCTCTCATTTGTCACCTTTTCACTTCATAACGCTCTTTCCTTGCTGCTGTTTTTTTTTTTTTTTTTTTTTTTTAAACCCCTTTCCCAGACAAGTGCACCATCGGGAGGTGGACACCGCACTGGACGTCTGGGCGGTCAGCGCCAGTACCCAGTGATGAAATAAACATCTTGCAGAGAGGTTGTGTGAACAGACTTGTTGGATAGAGTGAGATCTTACTTGGAAGTAAATGAAGCACATGGACACACGGCTCTCTACCTGGACCTTTTTTTTTTTTTTTTTTTTTAAACCTGCGCCTAAGAAGAGCTTAATCAGTCTCCATCATGTAGATCTTTGTCCCGCCACTTAACCACTCTTTCATCTATTTCTTTGGTTCAGTAATTGTCACCGGTGTATTTTTAACGGGCACCGCGTTTTCTTGGAAGGGATTTTTTTTTTTTTTTCCTGCATCTAAACAGAAAACACGGTCGTGTAATGGGTTTTAACTCACACGCACGTAAAAGCTAAAACTTGGATGCATTCATACACACACTGTGTGTTCGTGTACAATAAAAAAAAAAATGTTGCTCTTCAAATCTAACACTGTTAACAGAATGATCATCCGAGGTCCCGTTTTAGGTTTCCCTTTGTGTCTAAATGTCCCTGTTTGATCGATTGATTGTATGTGTGATGGATAGAAAGTGGCACCTTTTTAATTTCACATTGTGAACTTTGTATGTGCATTTGCAGCTCTTTGGTCAACTGGAGACGACATGCTGTGTGAGAGAATGAATCATGTTGATAGCGCCATTGTCTGCTGTGTTTGTGTTTCCTTCAGTAAAGGAAAGATGTTTGATGAACCAGGAAAGACACTCTTAGTGTCTTCACAAACCTGAGAGTTGAAGAGTGTTTGGATGCTGCTCGTTTCAGATATTTATTTCAATGTCCTCCTGCCCATCAACAACTCTTAACTTTAAAGATGCGTCGGGGTCTTTCGTCCACGTTAGGCTTCAGTTTCTCCTCTGAGAAATGTGTCTATCACTGAAACGAGTGGAGGTCTTCAGAACAGCAGGAATTGGGATTAGAACTGTTTTAAATGTCGCTAAAAAGAAATCTATCCAAATATTTGTATATCAGATTGATTGTATTTATGAGCTGTAGGCATAAAGGTGTGTGTGTGTGTGTGTGTGTGTGTGTGTGTGGAGAGCAACTATTTTTTTCTGATAGCTTTGAAGAAATGCAGTTATGACTCACCAGAGATGATGCAGATTAATTTACTGATTGTTTGTATTGGCCGCTTATGCAGACAAATAAATCTTTATCTAAATTGTGAATTGAGAGTTAATTGTGCTCTAAATACTACCTTGTCATTTGAATTTGCTGATGTGTAATTCAATTATTTGTCATCCTAAATGTTCCTGCTTCAATGATTTTGTAGACCTCCGGTTATGATTTTAAAAGGTCCCCTTTTGTTTCAGAGAAGGAATAGTTTTGCCCAATGTTTTAAAGTTCCTCATGTAAAATTCTTGACATGAAACAGTGAATACAGAAGGTGAAAACGAAATGGTAATAAAGTTATTTTTTGCGCTCTGTAGCACTTTGAAAGAACTGTCTGGTTTTATTCATTACAGGATTGTGTTTTAAAATAAAGCGACTATCGTATATTAAATATTTAGAAATGTGTTAAATCTCAAATACTTTTCGGCGAGCATGTGTACCTGAGTCAGTTGGCAGTAACCTGTGGAGCTGCCAGTTTTCTGCACATAACTAGTAATACAGATAAGATGGTAAATGGCTCCAATATGATCAATAATAAATATCAAAGCTGACAGAATGGTGATGGAGCAGATTTACAAGTTTGTTTTATAGGTTCGTGTTTCATTTCTACCTAATAAACATGGGAATGCAAATGCATACTATGTTTATATACAGTATATTCTGCTGTATTTTCAATTCAACTTACATCATTATGTACAGTACAAAAACTTGTCATAGCATGACTTGTCAACACTTAAAAATCTTCACTTCTTTGACGGGCTTAGAAGTAAATCCTCTGACTGTAAACAACTTCATCAAGCAACAATGATGTCTTGTGTGGAAGCTCGGCTCCCAGGTGGAGCGACATCGGTGCATAATTGTTTTACAATCGGACACGTATGCTCAGTCCATTTATCTGAGAGACAATCACGTGCTAACAAAGTGAGCACCCATATTCTAAACGGGCAATATCAATTTGGGCTAACTAGACTTCAATTATTTGCAGTAAGTTTAGTCAAAATTAGACTCTCCACAGTCCACTCAACAATGAGTATAAAACAAAGATGGCTGCTTATGTAGGTAAAATGTGTTACCATGATCTCCTAAAGGGATGTGCCCGCTCTTTCCCAGCATCATATTATCCAAGTTCATCAAAGTCATTCATTTATTAATGTCTTATTCTGTGTGTAAAATGTTGCTCCTCTGGTCAAGTAGAGAGAGTTTGATTCTGAGTGTCCATCGCTGCTTGTGCTTTCTGAACAGCAACCTCCAGCATCGTGTGGTCACTGAGCAGCTGTTGGAGAGCAGCTGGGTCCATCTCCACCAGCATACCTGCACAAATAGGTGCAGAGGAATAGAACCAAAATAGCATCAGTGTTATAAACGTTTAGCCTTTATCCACGCCTTACAAGGCCTATAACATAACAAAGATGATAAACTTCCAAAGATATTAGATCTGAAGATCAATCTTCAGGTCACCTGTAATATCATTTGCATGAAGTGGATCCAGCTCTTCCACCAGTGAGAAGATCTTCTCTCCGAGCCTCTCTGTGTCGTCAGCATCTGTCCCCTCCAGGCTCTGCCTGAAGGGGAGGCAGCAGGAACAATATTAAAACAGCAGTTTAACTGTAATTTATTAAAGAAAATTGGCTTTTTCTTAATCTTTAATTTTGTAGATTTCACTTGCAATCAACAGTTCTAAGTCACATACTCCTTAAGTGTCTTCAGGGCGAAGTTCACCTGCTCTTCCAGCAGTTTGGGGTCTGAAAGAAGGTTTAAAACGGCCTCTTTGTGCTGCTCCAGAAGCATTCCTGTTAAAGAACAGCAAATTATTTAGTATGTCACAAAAAGTCTAAGGGGTATCTTACTGCATAATATTACGTGTCTGTTGCTTACCTGTGATTTTCTGGGAGTGGCCGGTGTTGTAAACATCCACCAGCTCAAACAGCTGCTCCCCCAGAGAGTCAGAAGACACAGACACGTCATCGTCGTCCTTACATGGGACCGAGCTGCAAAGAGGTGCAGTGACATGTTAATGCACAATTTGAAGGTTTTTTGACACTCACATAAATTCCATGGTGTGCCAAGACCAGACTGTATGATGGAGGGAGGAGATCAGGTTTGGCAACCCTGTGCCCATTGCTGTACCTGGGCTCCTGTGCCAGCTGCAGGGCTCGGAGGGCCTTTTCCACGCCCGCGGTCAGTGTGGCCTTGTCCTGCAGCATCTGACTCAGGACAGGACCTGGCAACTCCAGCAGCATACCTGGGACACATACACAGGCTTGGGAACTTTGCTTTCATTTCGTATCATCAAAATCAAAAGACGTGCCATGCAGGTCACCTCACCTGTGAGTTTTCCAGCATTCTCTCTGTGTTTGGGGTAAATCAGAGTGTACAGTTTCTCACCAAGTGTCTCCAGATCTTCTGCTTTATCCATGTTTTCACATGAAGACACTGCTTGCAGGTGCCATGTTACACCTTACTGTAACTTTATAATGAGCGATTTTACAGAAGACTTTCACCTCTGACAACTTACTTTAGTTAACAGCTTCCAATCACATCAACATTCAGACACCATCCACTTAACACTTCTCCAAATCTACATCCAAAAATGCCGATTCTTACTAGTAGATTAGTCTGATTTACTCTGTGCGTATCCTTCACATGCACTCGTGTCATCATCTAAATTATAACTCGTTTTAGGGTTAAAACAAGCTGACATTTGAACATTTATATTTTGACGGCTGTCTGTAAACACGAGTCGCGTATTAATGACGTCAGGATTTGACCGAGCGCGGTGAAGACGTGTTCCTCCGCCGGAGTTTGCGGATAATTAGTACGTAATACAATTAGATTTAATAAGCTCTAGTGTCGTAGTAAAAATAGAAGTATTACCCTATCTATTTATTTTATGTTTCAAATCATATAAAATGTGTGTTCGAAGGGAAATGTTTCATAAAAAAGTACCTGTAGGTGCGCAGTGATTTGTGACAGCGGTTCCGTAAAGCGGTTTCCGGTCTCTCCGGTCCTCTCTCTCCGCTAAAAGGTAACGTGGTCGCCTCGGCAGCTATTAGCTACACACCAAACTGTATTTATTGTGTCTTCCTACTTGTATTTAGTCTCCGAAAGAACGGTATTAATTCTGTGGTGATTGTTTTACATCCAACGTGGCACGAAATGCACTTGAATAATGTAGGAATGGAAAGATACATTTGTGAGCACGTCGTTCGTGTTAGGCCTCGTCGTGATCCATCAGCTTTGGAGCTAACTTTAGCTAACTGTGCTTTAATGCAACAACTCTGCTGTCTTATATGAGTGCAGCCGTTGAATACACATGTATAATGTTTTACAATCCATGGCCAACAATTTCCCACACTTATCTGTTGGCTAATTTAAGAATCGTGAAACCAAGTGAACACGTTGAGTTGAAGTTATTAAAAATGGTAGCAAACAGCTATCTAGTGTCTGTACCTCCAACTGCTACTTAAAGCTGCTTTCAGATGGGCTTCATTCTAATATCACTGTCTTTGTTTTGTCCAGGTTCATCATGTCGTCCCATTTGCAGTGGATGGTCATCAGGAACTGCTCCAGCTTCCTCATCAAGAGGAACGGACAGACCTACAGCACTGTGAGTAACGTTGCACCCTCTCTGCACAGACCACCTAACTTACAGACCTCCCAACACACATGAGCCCTAACCAGGACTCAGTAATTCTACATACCGCTGTAATACTGTATACTAAGTCCTCCGTGTGGACCCTGTAGCTTACAGGATACAACGGGACTGGTCTTAATTGTTGAAATACGTGCACAATAGTCTGTCTTTGTACTACCAACACAAGCTGTCCAGTAGGGTTCTCTGAATTATGTCTTTGTGTGACAGGAGCCCAACAACCTGAAGTCCAAGAACTCGTTCCGCTTCAATGGTTTGGTGCACAAGAAGACTGTCGGCGTGCAGCCAGCTGCCGATGGCAAGGGTATCGTCGTGGTGCTGAAGAAGCGTAAAGGTAAACCTTTGACACGGTTTACATCTTCAGGCACTTCATGTGTCTGTAAAACAAGTGATTTATTGCATTGAATAAGACTGTCTTTACCTGATACTCACATGGTGTTCTTAGTCATTTGAATTATACGTCTGAATGTACATTGTACAACCGGACTGCTGTTGAATGTCAACAACACACTTTTTTCCTTTAAGGTGAAATTGACCTGTACTGGTTTAGAGGACAGAGTCACAAAATCCAATTGACTGTTTTAGCAGGAATCTAAATTATGGCTATCCAATTTATTTATCTCTGGAATCAGCTAACATAGACCGATCTGTAAGGAAAAGAAATGTGTCTAAGTTGAGCACTGCCCTGTAAGATACTATAGAGGATTTATGTAACCTCAGACTTTTTGCGGTCCCGTGTTATTTATTTGTTAGTGGATCGTTGCAGCTAATGTGCTAACAGTTGAACGTCTTTGTTTTCTTGCTGCACAGGCCAGCACAAACCCGCCAAGTCTTACGAGAAGATCACCATCAACAAGAACTCTCGCGCCACCCTGAACAGCCTGAGGCACATCATTAGCAAGAACAAGTATAGAAAGGACCTGCGCATGGTGAGCTCAAGTTGTGATTTCAGACACTAAACTTCTTATATGTATGGCGGTCCATCTTGATTTGTAGTTCATATTTCAAAGCTTTCAGGAAAATCATTTTGAGTTTCATTTGTTTCCCCAGGCTGCCCTGCGTCGTGCCAGCGCCATTCTGAAGAGCCAGAAGCCTGTTGTGGTCAAGAAGAAGCGCGCCAAGGCTGCCAAGACAGCATAATGATACACATGATACATAAATAAAAGCTTCTTGTTTAGAGAAAAAGCACCACATTGTCCTGTCTTAACTGGATCCTTACTACATCTGTGGCTTCTAATGTGAAGGCTTTTGCAGATATCTGACTAGTTATATAGTATGGTAATGAATGAAGTTATTACCAAGGATTCTTTTATGCATCATTGTCAGTTATTGATACTTTTGCAAGAGTAAGTGAGCAAAACTTCCTGGCAAGATCACACATGATCAGTGAAGGATTAAGTCGGGGTTTTATAGTTGCGAGTTATATTAAAGGCAGCTGTCTCACACATGGAAATGTAGAACAGCCTTTGAACAGAGTTAATGCCTTATAACCTGTACAACTCCATATGTTGTAAATATTACTAATATATTTGTTGACCTGCTTTTGAGGCATGTGCTTTTTCCTGTGCACTAACATCCCAAAACTTCGAACAAGTTTAGCTGTTGTGACTAGAAATAGGTCAGTAAGTGGGCACTCGGCTCTTTAAGATCAGCTGAAATCTACACAATTATTCAGGGATTATAATCACATCGAAGTCTTAAATCACTATCCTCTTGACCTCGCTGCTCTGATGTCCCAGTGATGATGTGCATGCTGTACTACATGTGACAGAAATGAGCTGCAACTAATCGAACAGGCGGATGTCTGTGCATTGATTACCTGTATCATAGCTTCCCTTTTTACCCATATTTTTGGACTGTATTTTACAGAAATCACTGAAGAACTCAATTAACATTTTATTTTACACAGCATTAGTTTGAAACAGTAGCTCATGCTGAAGCAATCGGGGCCTGTTGCTTTAGTCACAGTAACCACTGAGGTGGAAACATTGGATAGATTTTAAAGCAGCCCACTGGCAGCTTTCCAACCATGGCTTTGGAAAGAAATACACTTGTCACCTCCCCTTGAGTTCAAGCTGATAAAGTACACTGCAGCAATCATTTCTGCAGTGGAGCCCATCTCTCTGACACAGGATTGAGACGCACCTGTGAGAGGGCCGGCTCTGCTTCTGAAGATGTGATCGAGGCTGTGCCGGTCGCTATGAGGGGACTAGGGCCCGTGCTTTTCTTCATGCCCGTGGCTCTGCTGGTCCTACAAAGTCGGAGCTTTGAACTGCAGGATACAATTCATGCTCTGATAGAGGAGAACATCCACCTTCATGACCGGCTGGAGAACCTCACCCAAGCCCTCAGGGAACTCAAACGGATGCTCTTGCATCACTCAAATGGTACGGAGTCTTTTACCATCAATTTATATACAGTATTGATTTATATACAGTATAATTTAAGTAGGAAAAATGTATTTTCTTTGAATTTTAATCCGTCATATTCCTTTTTTTTGTATTTAACCATTTTACACCAGTACACATATTGCTTTTGTACATCCAAATACAACCTTTGAATTTAATCTTAATCTCAAGACACAAGATGAATACTATTGGCCAGATTGTGCATTGTGGGACCAATACTGAAATGCATATTATTCTTATGAAATGTTGTGTTTAAATGCTCTCTCCTCTTTCCCCTTACTCTCATTTCCTGTGCGTGTCCTGTCTGCTGTCTCTTAATCCTCCTTTCCATGCTGTCTTCAGTCCTTCATGTTATCATGCAGTGTTCTCTCTTTCACCCGGAGAACCACCACATGTATGTACATGACTTCAGTGTGTTTTGTGATTTAACACAGACCCAGATCATCATGAACACAGTGAACATCACAATGAGGATGCCCAGCATCTGTGGGACGAATGGTCAGAACACGGTGTGTATCTCGACATGCTGGTCTCTTCAGCTAACGAAAAACATTTCGAAGCTTCCAGCAGATTTACTGCATTGAGCGAGCAAGTTGTGGCAGAGCCCGTAGCCTTAGTTGGCATTGATTTTGTGGCGATGTGGGATGCAATCAGGCTTACGGGGTCATACAAGCACCAGAGGGACAATGAAGTGAAATGTAAATCTACTCTGCCACAAATGAGCCTTCTAGCAGCACAACATATGTTTCACTCAGGTTAAAGGGGCCAAATGCTCCCTGCATGATGATGATGTGACTATTTCTCCCTTCCATGCAGGCATCAGCACAGATACCCATCTTCTGTTGGAGCATGCCTTTTGTGGACATGACCTGCACGACTCAGCTGCTGCCCTCCACGAAAAAACAACCCTCCTGCTGCTGACGTTACTCTGCCTCACCCTGCTGCTGATGAGATAGTTCTAGGCTACGTTAGCTACACAGAACTTCAGCCGTTGTCTCTGTCACTCAGTTGTTCAGTATAATAAAGTTATTATATTATGGCCCATGGGGACAAGTCATAACTATGCAGTAATTATTATTGAGTAGTGGGTTTTGATATGGTTGCAGGGATTAGCTCTAACCCGGCTCCTCCCCTTCAGAGTGATTATTGAGTGGAAAGGATTGAGTTGACCTCACTGTGTTGGACGAAACATCTCTGGGGAGTTCACTGAACTGGAAAGGAGCCTTTTGAATGCTGGTGATCAGCACAGTGGAGGCTGAATGAAAGCAGATTAAACCTGCTGACTCCTTTAATTACTGTGGTTATGTGGAACCACATTTTGTTGTTATGACAGTGATGATATTATTGTAATTTTATAAGACAACTTTTTTTTTGTTATCCCTTAAGCTATAAAAACTAATAAACATTGAGTCGTTTGGATTCCTTGTAGAAATAATCTTTGGTACAAACCTTGTAGCAGGAAAAGCACAGGTGGAACTAATAACTTTAACGAGGGCTCTGTTCCTAACGACATTAACTACACCTGTGTTTGACAAGTCAAAATGTTTGCTCTGAATGAGGTCCAGTGTCTGACAGTACCGGTGTTCACCTGAGCTGATCTGTGAATACAATAAATGGATACTTACAGGATGAACTCAGCAGCCCAATGTGTTTAATATTTGATTATTTACTTTGACCGACTGAATGAAAAATTAATATTCAAGCTTAATTTTTTGCCAACTTCTAAAAGTTATGGTGAACCATCTCGAGGGAAATTTCTGGATCTTCCAGCTGTTACGTGCTCCACTACGATCACCAGCTAGTTTATAACTTTCTCTGTCTGCTGTTGAGCAGGTAGTGTACAGTGAGTTTATCATCGCTTTTTTTGCTGAACTCAGCTAGAAACAAGCCTTTCATGTTACTCCAAATAAATCCATACTTTTTGTTTTATTGTCCATCATCCCTCACTTTGTACTCTGATTGAATAAAAAAACAATACAACAGGCACTGTCCAAGCGTTTGTTTATTCGCCTCACTATTTTAAATGGTACAGCACATATAAAAGTTAGAAAATTAACTACAAGTCGGTTTGGGCTGCAGGATTTGTATTCTACAGAGTGAAACACATTTAATACAATGAAGATGCAAATGAAACAAAACAGGGATTGTGTTTTAACACAATGAATAAATAACAGTCACAGCTCAAAGAAAAACAATTAAACTAACATCGACATCATTCTCACTGCGTATAACAGGTCCTCGATTTTAATAATGGCAAAAATGTACTAATAATTATAACTTATGTTTACCATGGATTGATGTCATGAGGAGAATCATTCGGCCATGATGTTGTGTGTGCATTTACTTTTGGTTCTGCTTCAACGCCGGCTGTATGAGTAATAACATAGCAATCCTGGCTCAACCTGTCATCACTACGGTGGTCCACGTACATAAAAATCATCTATAGTCCATGCAGACTGTGTACACGTTTCCAAAGCAAATAATTCATGGAAGACAAAAAAAAACATCTCTAGTCTATATCAAGGTCGGAGTCCTCATCGCTCATAGTGTTCTGTACGATGGCTCCGTTGCGGACCGTCTTGGAGACGATGGGGGTCTTGTCGGGCAGCAGGCCGTACTCCTGCAGCAGCGCCTCCACGTCTACGGCGAAGAAGTCTTCCCCGAGCTGGTCCGTCACCCGCACGAAGTTGCCGATCAGGTCGCCCGCTTTGTAAACGAGCAGAGCGGGCAGAGCACTGTCTCTGAACAGAGCGCTGGTGCTGATGGCCGAGCTGCGCACGCTACAGAATTTGACCAGCGGGTATTCCTGAGCCAGACAGATCAGGCTGCCGCTCATGCTCTCGCAGCCCGGGATGTCGGACTCGTAGATGTGGATCATGACCAGGGTGGTTTTGTCCTCCTTGTCCAAAGCCTCCAGGAAGTCCTCGCCGCTGATCAACTCGTAGACCTGCGCGAAGCGTTTGCCGCTGCAGAGCTGGCGGCGCATCTCCGCGATGCGCTGCATACGGTAGTGCTGGAGGAAGTCTTCATCGTCCTCTTCTTCCTGGAGCATGTTGTACTCTTGCATGGTCATCTGTGGAGTAGACGAAGAGGAAAACACATTCAGCTACTAAAAAGGAACAGTGCTCTGGAGGTTTAAATTGTTGCTAATTATAACTCTGTGACAATGATAAACTTGTTTCTCAGGGCATAAGATATGTGTATGTAAATTAGTTGGCAGGTGCATTAATACAAAGTGAAACCAAATGTGCCACTAATCCATCATTAGACTGTCAGAAATTAGAGGATGGAGGTTGCAGGGATCCCACCATGTTAATGAGGTTGTATTTAATTAATATCATGCCTGTGTTTAGCCTTTTCCCACAGCAAGTGTCCCGTTAGCGAGTGTGGCTCAGTTTCAAGAGCGAGTCACCCATGTACTGCCAGCTAGGAGTGAGGAATAAGATGTTCTTGTCTTGTCTATAGTTCGTCCACATCCTACTCACTTTGCCTTTGATTTTCTCCTGCAGCGCTTTCTCTTTCTCTTTGTCTTTTTCCAGGTCGAGGTCAGAGCGGCAGGTCATCGACAGCTTCTTGATCAGTCTCTCCATCTCTTTCTTCTGCTCTTGTTTCTGCTCCACCTCCAGCTGCTTGTACTTCCTCCAGTCATTGATGACACCCTTTGGTCCTGAGAGAGAATAGCCAGTTTTACCGTCACTGTAATTCCTTTACAAAGTTGCGGGTCTTATTTGAACAGTACTTTTCTTGGTGTGTGTGTGTTTGTATGCTTGTTTTAGTACCCGTGTTGACGGCACTTCCATCAGCGCTGTAGTCTATTTCAGGCTCCCCGACGTTAGCGTCCCGGATGGTCTTGTTCTCCCCCTCCTCATCCTCGTTGTCGCTGCCTTCATCCTCACTGCTGCTGTAGTAGTACTGCAGCTTCTCTCCCAGAATTTTGTCATCCAGAGTCGTCATTACAACGCCTCACCTGAGGGCAGAAGTTTTCAATGTGTTAGATAGACTAATGCAACTCACTAATACCATTTACAGGAAGCTTAATTCTTTCATATGAGAAGGAGACTCATGAGCTCATTCTTCATCTTTGTACTGCAAGCGGAGGACAGTCTGTACTGAGCAACCTCAATACGAACTAATCTAATATGCTTGTGCCTTAAAATCCCTAGACTATATTTGAATAAGGTCTGTCTTGCGTAATTTGACTAATAATTTGCATGAGCTGCAGGCAGCTGACGGTGAGACAATACAGCTTTATCTTTAACCCCTCATTAGATGAAACCTCTACAGATAAACATCTATATCACACAATAGTGTCAGTCAGTGGAGCATAATAATCCAGATTGACAGCCATCCAAGCTGTCATAGGTCAGACTACAAAGGGTTTATGTCAAAAAGAAAAATAGGACAACTGCATTATACATAGCTTATGATAAGTGTGTCAACACAACTTGGGCTGAGAGGCCTTTAATGACGCACTGAGCCGTGTGTAAACCAACAAATGTGCACAGATGGAGAGACAAGGAGACAGACACCCCCGCTCATTTTAACAGTGGCAAGGAAGCAAAACGGAAGAAAAATAATATTATTTCTAACTACGGTTACAGCTCTTTTGTCACATAATAAACAGTGGAAGCTAAGGCCTGCAGCACACACCTAACGTTAGCTGTTAGCTAGATTCTCTGTTAATCCCTGTGACAGCTACGATAGCCAGCAATAAGTCAGATAGATATCGTTAGCTAGCTCTTCGCTGTTTTTGCAGTACCGCAACGCTACTGTAAAGAGGATAGAGACAATCCAATAATCTCGTTTATGAAATAGGACATAGGGCAGTTTGCGTTTGAGAACGTGAGCTAGGTTAGCATCTGAGCTAACTGTTATTGCACCGACTTCCTGAGACAACCAGTACACATTAGCTAGCCATAAACCGAGAGTGTATTTATTCAATATCGCTTAACATTTTACTACAAAAACATGACAATGTCCATTACTTATTTTACCTTGATTTTATGTCCAGCTAAGGTTAGTAAAATACCACCAACTCCCAAAGCTCCCTCCTGTTAATCTGCTCGTTTAGCCGTAAACCACTCTCCCGGAGTATGATGCCTTCAAGAATACCGAAAACGTCGTAATTGGGAGGTGCGAGCGCAAAGACATCCGCCATTCCGCTAAATAGTTGCGGTTTAAGCTGTATTTATGGTGTGGACTGGTTCGGACATAACAGGAAACAAAGTAGCATCACTCAATTTGTGATGTTTGTAACAACTTTGTTAGTATATTGCCCCATAAACGCATATTTAAAATTCACTTTTTTAGTTAGAATCAAACACCTCAACCACACCATAAGCACTCAAAATAGCTGAGCTGCAGGGTTAATTCTGGCGTCATTGTCATCTAAATCTGTATTTTGAAGTATGGAGTGTGATGGGGTCATATTCTGAAGTAACTGTCCTGTAAAGTTGGACTTTACAGAGAGTGCGTAAAGGCAACACGGTACATCCGGGTTCCGTGCACTGACGTAGGGAATGCAGGAAGCTGCTGTAATTGTTTTCATGCAGTTCTCATCTTCACCACAGGAGGGCGGTATGACTATGAAATATGACGGATAGTACCACTACTACAACCACTGCTGACAGGCTCACCAAAATTGCTCTTTGTAGATTTTATTTTTGGTCAGATATGAATAATGTCATATGAATCACAATTTAGATAAATATTTAAAGCCAAAAGGTTTTTATGTGTTGTAAACATTGCTGTGCATCTTGTTTATTGATAAATCATAGATCCCGCTATTATCTGTCTTGTGTTCCCATCATTATTCAACTTCAAGCCAAAACAAACAGGATTTCCAAGAAGCAGTGAGTTAGACATGAAAGTGGGAAAAGTGACTCAGAGAGCCACAGAACAATATGTAGTAAAAAAACACACAACATTTTAATTGCTGCCAATTTAAATAAATGGACAGTTATCCACTTTTGCATCTAAAGTTTTATTTCAATGAATGACTCTATCATTACTCTTTAAATAAATCCACAGATGATACATACTTTCATTACTGGACAGTGTGAACATGATGGTATTTAGGTCTTCAGGCACAAAGCATTTAACAAAAATGATATGTTAATATACTCACTGATTTGCTCATGTGTGACGAGTTCTCATACTGAGCTCTGAGTCCTGTATGATTCTCCAGTGACATTCAAACAACCACTACTGCACGTTCTCTACACAAAGATCTTTTTTTGCAGCAGCAACAGCCTCTTTTTGCTTAACATATGGATCTTAAACCATAACCTTCTGGTGCAAAGAGTCATAGCTCATCAGTACTTATTTTACCGTCATCATTCCCTCTTGTTGATTGCTCCTCTCTTGGTACTCTGAACGCCACATAAGGACACGTCCTGGTGTTCAGACAGACCAGCTTCTTCAGTGTGGCAGAGTTCACTATGTCAAAGCCGACTTTGCCTCCAAACGTGCTGGGCTTCCAGTAAACTGGAGAACAAATAGGGTTTCCCAGGAGGCCTTTAAGGGAGAAGGGGGCACCCATCTCCACCATGCTCTCTCCAAAAATGGCCCCCTGACGCGTTCTCTCCAACAGCATGCCGGGATAAAACTCAAGAGCATCAATATCCCCGTAGAATTCTTCAAGCTCGCGGGCTATCTCCTCGTTATCTGCAAATGGTAATCACAAGTATTGCACGGTTAATAAAGCGATCTACAACACAATGCATCAAGGACTAATCTATAACTTTGCAGCCATGGGGTTGAGAATGTGTGCTGAGCTGTATTCTTTACCAGTGAATTGTCTGAACGATGTGTACGGCTGGAGGTTAAAGCGCTTCCTGTACTCGTTGAAGGGCTGTATGCGGAGTTGGCGGGACTCCTTAATGGTCACCACAGCCACTTTGGCCACCACAGCATTGGTGTTAAAGCCACCGCCAACCTGTAGGACAAAGGTTTTAGAATGAAGTATCTTATGTAAAAAAATGACAATACACCAAATACTGTATGCATGTGGATGTGCTTTGATTTGTATGGATTTGTCTGGGTTGTATGCGATTACCTGAGATTAAATATCAAAAGTGTATGCTAATGTAGGCTAGTAAGAGTAATGATCTATGTGAAAAGTGTAATTAAATAAACATTATCAACATTTATTTCTCTTCAGCACATGAACCCTTTTTGTAACTACGTCTGTTATTGCACGTCTTCCCTCTTTTTTAAAAGGTGTACTTTGGGTTCAGGCCAACATAAAGTGTTTGTATAACTATAACAATCCCGACCAACCTCAGTTGGTCTCAGACAACTGTGTCAACACATTAGCCAAGTCCCCTCAGTACTCAACTTTTATGGCAAACAGGATACAAATCCAGCAAAATAGAATGTGTGAATGCCAAAAAATACTTTATGGACATTTGAAGCTGGCAATACTGCAGATTATATCCGACAGTTCTAACTAACTAAGAGTTAGTTATAAGTATCGGAGCTTCCAATCAACTATACGCTAAAGAAAATGATTTTATTGCTGCATAATTTAGATATTACATTGTGTAGTTTGTTACCTGGCCAGCAACTTGCCGAGAGAAGGAATCCACCAGCTTCTCAATGCCGTAGTGTGTGAGAACGGAATTGTTGAAGAGGAACTGCTTGTACGACAGCTCATCTCCGTCAATAAGGAAGCTGTCGGGCATCAAGGGGTGCCAGTGGTAGAGCTGGCTGAACTCCAGAGCGATACGGTTCCCATACTGGAAGTTGGAGTTAAACAGCAGAGTGGGATCAAACTTCAACTGCAGCCTGTATCCACTGAGGTGCTGCACATACTCCTCTATCACTATTTTTATTGTCTCACCTGAAGGGAAACGTGCAGAGACACAAAGAGGGCAGACGGATTAAAATTAAACCACCTACCAGATACTGAGTAAGGATGTGATGGAACACGTTCAACAAAGCCGACTCCAATAAAAGGTTGATTCATGAGCTTATATAGGGGTTGCTGTCATGCACTGTTACTGAAAAGTACACCAACACTGGACAAACATAATAAAAAAAGTTAAAATGATAATCGGAATAGGATTAGTTCAAGGTATTCCTTTCCCAAAATTTCTAAAACTATTCCGTCAAAATTCTGTCCAGCTCACCAATAATGATAAAGCGCGTGGTCTGGAACAGCTGCTCATCATCCCAGGTGGGATGCTCCGCCTTCAGGATATCACATACTCGGTTATGCTCCCTGAGCCAGAGCGTGGCGAACATTCCCAAACCCGGGAGGAGCCCAAACACTTCCTGACCAATAGCCATCTGAGTCCCAGGAGGGATCCCAGGGGGGTAGCTCATCTTAACGGGTGCATCCGCTACAGAGGGAGGGTACATCTCGCCATCAACTAACTAAAAAAAAAAAAAAGACAAAAATGAATGTCTTTCCCAACCATCTCCACTTTCTCTGACAGTTCAGTGCAGTCCATATTCCTGCAGCAACATGTTAAAAAGCTTGCTTAGTATATTCCCATCTAAGGCAACACCAGCAGATGAAATGAAAGGATAAGATATCAACAGCGCTGGTAGTGAGTGGTTGTTCCACTCTTCTCTTGGAATGGAAAGTATTTGTTCTAATCTTGAGCAACATGTCAACATTTCTCTTTTCCCAGTTTTGATTGTTTCACCTGATACTTGAGTTTTCCGTCTTTGTGAAGCCTGAGCCGAAGCTGACGCTGCAGGTTGTCTCCGTAAACGTGCCCAGCATCCACCTGGATGTAACACGAGACAAGACAAAGAAAAAAGGAAAGTGAAGAGCATACAAGGAAATAAACAAAGGCGTTCATTTATTCACAGCATTAATGCAAAGCTGTTGAGCTACAAAGACAAAGTCTCATTGATGCCAAATTCTGTGAGTTTTTTTTCCGACCCAAACCAACCATAAACGGACACTAAAACGGACAAAAGCTGTGAATGGACTAACCCCGTGCGCTAGAGCCTTGGTGAAGCCCACACCCATGCGGTTGTAGGTCTTAAAGAACTGGTGGGTGAAGTGCTGTGCGAAGAAGGCGAACAGGAGGTTGGAGCCCTGAGGGTCGGGTCTGAACGTCCTTCTCTTCAGCAGCCTCTCAACCAGCAGCTCAGGGTCAGGCAGCCCAGCGTTGCCTAAACAGAAACACTACGGCGTCATACAGGGCGCGGGGGCAAAACACAGATACACCGCGCTTCCAGTCATAATACTGAAATAGTGTGTCAGTGAAAACAGTGCTGACACTGCCCCTTCTGAACCATCCAAGGTCTATAATCAGCACGCATGTCGCTGTGGTGAGCAAAATACCTGTTCTGCATTAGATACTGTTGGTGCTGTCACACATTTGCACCTCATTACGAAATATTATATCAAAATGATGCAGTGGTGGAAAGTAACTAAATGTACTCAAGTACTGCGTTAAGCTACTTGCAGTTTACCTGAGTATTTCTATTTTATGCTACTTTTACTGAACTACATTTTTAGAAAGAATTATTTTACAATACTTGGATTCGGTACAGATAGCGAAACCATACTTTTATCGATACCCAGATAAAACATAAATGAGTGGCTAACCTTTGACCCCCAGAGGTGTAGGGCAGTTCTTCGGCACTGGGGGCAGAATGCGAGTGTAGTAGCTCAGATTATAGTAGGATTCCCAGCTGAGGTAGCCATACTTGGAGTTGTAGGTTGGAGGGCTAGGTATTAAGTTAGACCTCACTGTTAAATAAATAAAAAAGGTATTAGACACTTTGAATATGTGACAACTCTGAATGAATTTCATTGAATGAATGAAGAGCTGACCTGTTAGAACCAGCCGCATGAGGACGTCCCGTAGGAAGGTGTAGTTGATGATGTCCCAGAGCCAGCTGAAGTGGGTGAGAATGTAATGCAGCACTTCTGGACTGGGCTTGAAGAACTGACGCACTCTGGTCCAGAACTCCGCTGTGGTGGGAGGACAGTTTAAAGAAAACTTTACTTGACAAAAATGTTTTTTACAGGAAGTTAGGGCAGCTAGGATTTCAGAGTGGAAAAAAAATTCCCTCAGCATGTCAAAGTCAATAAATCACAGTCCAAGAGGATACTCTGTTATAGCCCGGTGAATTGCTCGGCGACTCAGAGAATGAAGTGAAACAAAATTGGCAATTCAGTCTAATTATCAGGCTAGGAGTATTAGCATCGTTGGGTCAGGCGGGATTACCAACCAGGCAAAGGGGGGCAACGGTCCCGGGGCCCCAAAAGTGTCAATGGTTTGAGCTAATTAAACTGAACATTTTCTTCTAGATGAAGCTCCATTAAACCACAATATCAACTGATATGATAAAGCCTCATAAAAGGTCCATTGTGTTTAATCAAATTAGCTTTCATTTGGAATCGTTTTTCTGACCACCTGACGCATGTAAGTCCAATAACAACACAGTGAAATAGCTTAGCTGTTACATGCTCCACTATGTACACCAGCTAGTTGTCGACTGTGTAGTTTAAGATTAATATTTCTAAAATCCTGAAGCTGAAACAAAAAGTGTTTCAATCCCATTCCCCCCTTTCCTGTTCCACATTCCTTTTCTTTTCCGTCCTTCTGCTCCCACTCTTACTTTCCTGTTGTCTCTCTGCACAATCAAAGCGATGGTTAATTGGTATTAAGCTTGGTGAGCGTGATGTAACTGCAAAACTGTCCACCGAAAAACAGCACATCTGATTAAGGACTACAGTGTGTGAGGGTTTCTTGTTAAGGTGAAGCAGAGCGGAAGAGATAGTAGATGGATGGATAGATGTGGTCTAGCTCTGATCCAGCTGGTCTCATTCTGGCAGTTGCTGCTGTTTCCATATATTTGGGTCTAGACAAGAAGTCCAAACTCTGTGAGCCAGGGGCTAAGTTCCACTATTTCCTGATTAAACAACTAAATGAAATAGCTGTTTTCATCGGCCTGACATCTAATCCTATCTGTCTTGTGTACAAAGGAATAACAGAATATTTCAAATTCCTTAAAAATGCAATAAAAACAGAGGATAAGGGCACGACTCACGGACAGTGCAGTTTTCTCCGCTGTAGCCGGTACGAGTGCAGTCACACTCGTACTTGTCCTCGCCATAATTTACACACACACCCCAGTGCTGACAGGGGAAATAACAGCATGGGTCCACTGTGGGAAAAAAACACGAAGAAGAACTCATGTCAAAGACTGTGACAAATACTTACATAAACTCAGGCAGGCAGATCATGAATGAGACGGCGACATTGTGAGGTCAGATATTGACATGCTCCTACACAAAACATCTGTCTTTGCACAGAGTTGGAGCATCACCTCTAAAAACATCTGTCTTTTGGCCGGACAGGAAGTCTCAGATTGATTATTAATTTCAAACATCCGGCATTAAAGTGATGTAATTCTATGTCATTCCTGCTCCCAGTGCAGTATTTTCCAGGAATACATACTCAGTATCTTGCATAAAGACCGATTAACAAAAAAAGTCTTGAGAGACATGTAGTTCAGCTGCAAAGAGGTGAAATAAGGCCCGAACATCATACTTGGAAAGACTCATCGACTAGTTCTTACTGCAGATCATTTTAATCGGCGCCAAATCTTTGCACATGCAAAAACATGTCTCTCTCCGCTTACGCTCTCCCTGTCTTCTGTCTCCTAACAGCGAAACCTACAGATCAGCAACCTCATCTGACTGCTATGTAAACTACATGGACACTATCTGATTTCATTTGTCACAACAGTTCACATCTCACATGCAAAGAGGAAACTCAAGGAATCATACAGCAGTATAGAAAGGCAGAAAATCAGATGAAAAGAAAGAGGTGGTGGAACTGTTGAGATGTGTGAGAGCAGATCACGTTGGCCTGAGGGCCGGATGGTACATTGTGTGTCTAACGGGGGGAGGGGAGGGGGGGGGGGGGGAGTTGCCTCTACATGTCAGACTACATGTTTGGCCACAGGTCAGGCAGGAAAACTCTGTCCGGGGGCTTCACTGCTCGGAATACGTGCATCCAATTTCATTCATCTTTTTCACAAGAAATTGTACCATTAAGGGAAAAATAGACCTCCCAATGCTTCTCTTTCCTTATAATCAACATGAGACGGAAAATAAGGTGTCCAACAAGATAATATTTTTCTGGCAGTGGTCCTTTCTAGGTGATGAATCGTGTTATTGTACCAGGGACGGGCTTGTCAGGGCCTGCCTTTGTTATCGGGGTGAGCGGAATGTCTAGCCTCTAATGGCAGCTTAACCACAGTGTTCAGAGGAAGACCTGATACTTAGTAATAGTAATGTTGTATTCAGCCATCACACACATTACAATAAATAAAGCCTATATACAATCTAGTATACAATATGACTGAACATACATAAGCAGAAGCATAAACGCCTCTCCTACATTCTTATAAATTAAGTTAAAAATATTAAATATTAAAACCACAGGGAGAAAGAAAACACTCTATTGAACATGCGTTTCCTGCAAATGACCTGTGGCAGCAATTAGAGCAGCAAATACTCAGACTAACAGATATTACAGTATAGTAAAAACATTTAAAAACACCCAAGAACATTGACCTCTCACCTACCTGTGTCTGAGGTAACCTCATCACCCCGGCATGCAGGCTCCCGCAACAGCAAGAGCAGAGCACACACTGATCCTAGGAAAGAGGCTTCAACAACAGTTTTGAATTATTATTTTTTTTGTTCAGTAACAGAGATGCAAGAACAAAAACCAGCAGCAGCAGCACGAGCAACGGACGGCCAAGCATACCTACATCTCATTACAGCAGCCTCAGTTCAGGAACATGTCACGTCAAAAACTCTGCGAGAAAAGTGTAACAATGCAGGAAAAGGAGGAGAGACAAGACGGAGCGTGGGAGTCTGAGAGCAGCAGGACCAGCGGTCCAACAGGTTAAGTCCTGTCTGTGAGTGCTGCAGCCCCGCCGCACTGCGCCTGTACCTGCCGTCCCGAGGAAGAGTGAAAAGTGAGACGGAGGCTCCAGTCGAGCGCGCGTTCTCGCTTCCTTATCGCCCCCTGCTAGTGCACAAAGACTCCCCCCCCACCACCACCATGTTTCCTCCCCTCATGCTAGCACAGTGAAATTAATCATTTTCACAAGACATATTCATGTTGGAGGATATTGGGCTATACTGTGGGATGCGATTGAAGCAAAGCCTACAAGTACTTCCTCTGGGGTGTTCCTCCTTTTTGGTTCACAGCACACACGCGCGCGCGCGCGCACACACACACACACACACACACACACACACACACAATAGACCTGCTATTCAGCTTCATGGAACACATTTCGACATGTCACAGTGAGAAAAGCATGTGAAAATGTGTAATTAATTGAAGATGAAACTTGGCTGAATTACATTTGCTGCTTCAGTGTCAGCTCACTGGCATGTCGTTAACGTTATTAGTGTTACCTATTGCAGCAAAGCTCTGCATTAGTAAAGAGGACCGTATGGTTTGACCGCTTAGTTTTAAAAGTGCATAGTGATAATACAACTTCATCTATAGAATGCGTTGCATCCAAAATATTGCATATTCAATACAATGGGCTTAAAATGGGAGGTGCAGGAAGTAGCAAAATTGTAAAAATAAAGTAGACTGGATATTCCTCAACAAAAAGAACCAGTCTGTGTTTCTGTCTCATTGGCATGTATCACTCACACTGAAGACACTGACTTTTACAGAGGAGGAGAAACAGCACCAGCACAGGTCACAAGGCCAATGTAGAGGAGATGTGTCAGGACTGTGTGGATGTAATGGATGATCTCACCTCTGACCCCTGGAGTGAAGAGGCTGTGTGCCCAGAGAGGGGAGTATGATTAGATAACCTTTAATTTAATGTAGAGCACGTCAGGTATGAGACCGGAGTTGCAGCTTTCTTTAATAAACACTTGTCAAACAAGGTTTGTTCTGTAAACACGGCAGTCTGATTCTGCATTATTTAGGTATCTGTACTATTCTACGGCTTTATTGCTGTGTAATGCTTTTTCTACAAAGTTATAGTGGTGGGAACACTGCTATACTGCAAACAGGGAAACACATTTCCCTTGAACATAAGTCAATATTCATAAAGTGTGTACATCGAAAAATATGGCAAAGAATGTGTGAAAAAAATTAGCTCAATCTATAAAACTGGTGATTAAAAAAAAAAATACAGATGAGCTGTAGTGAAACTGGCAGAAGAGGTGGAGAGTATTTTGGCAGCGCAGAGGAGAAACACAGTGGCAGTACTCGGCAGTTATGTTGAGAAATACTGCTGCTGTGAAATGCTTGCAGGCATATCTGTGATTGAAACCACACTCTCACTCTGCGGTGTGAGGTTGCAGATCTTGTTGGACTTACCAGATCCACCAACAGATTAAAATAAAGACATTTGTTGATAGAGTGGAGTCAGGTTCTGGGAATCATAAAAAAACACAGATCTGGAATTCCTTGACGGCATAATATACTAGTTCAGTTTGGTGCAAACGGCTTTATTGTTACCTGCTATGTGAAATCTTAGGAGGGGGATATTTCTAACTTTTCCACCACATTTGGCCGCTGGTTTTCTCACCGTGGTGGACTCTGATGTTGTCCAGCTGCAGCCATAACACACAAACCTTTGACTCATTTGTAAACGGCCTTCCTTCCAGTCGTCTGCGAAATCTCAGTATTGTTTGGCTCCGGCTAAATATTTAGACTTATTTTGTTGCTGAAGATGTTTGGAAACTGCTGCTTTGCTACTCAAGCTGCAGATTGCACTTTATCTTCCAGCTGCACTTTTACTAAGTGAAGGAGGCAAAGAGGGGCGCTGCTAAAAGTTCTGGGCGGCTTAGAAAACATTTCACCCGAAGCCCCGTGAAAGTATCTGAATGTTGCAGGGCCCCCTGATTTAGATTTGTTCCCACAGTCTGCAGCCATAGCAGTGGGGAAGTCCTCTGGGTCTTGATACGGTTTTATCTGGAAGAGCTGTTGGGTTGATGAACTGCTAGTTAGATGATACTGCTCTCAATAAATGACCGGCTAACTCAATCTCCAGCATGGGAATAAGATGTTAGGTTTTAAATCTGGTACTGAAACCGTTTGCATTCAGCACTCCGGTGAATAATTTGGCTTTCCACATTTGTGTCACATCACCACAAACTAGACTGCAAAAAAATTTTCTCAGCTGGATGTGTTCACAGCAATGGAAACAGGACCATTTGCTGTTAAAAAAAAAAAAAATCAGTTTGTCTGAAAGGTATCATTTCAGTGAGGCCTTTGAAAATTGTGCATGAAACGCGACTAACATTTCCTACACGCCTTTCTGAGATATATAACCACTATGAATGAAAAACCTGTTGGATTTTTACTTTTGATTGGATAATAATTATTCAGTCTTGATCGAGTATTAATAGGCAATCTTTTCATTTCACCCCTGTCTCTTTATGTGCACGCTTTGATGCACTTTTCAGCACGTTAATATTTTGAACTAAATGATTCAATTAATGAAAAAAGTCTCTCATGCACATAATTAGTCATTTTGCAGATTTGTTCAAACCCACTGATCTCACTACAAAACTTCCAACATTAAAACAATAGATCACATTTCTGTAAACACCATTTATTTCAGGTTTATGTTTCGGTTTGACAATTTTTTATTTTAAATTTTAGAGATTCGCACGAACGAACCACGTGTGAATAAATGAACACCCCGTGTCTATTTCATCACTCTTGGCCGGTCTTTTGCTTTCACTGGACAGACGATTAAAGATCGAGACTGAAACTCCTGTTTAACGTCACATTTATTCAACAAAAAATGTGTCTTTTAGGATGAGCTGGAGGCGGCCACTGCAGCGCGTCTGGGTTTGGGGGTGGTGCCTTCCCTGAAACCATTCCTGGGAAACAGAACAAATAAAAAAGAAAAGTGAGGTTGATGCAGCGAATTGCAATTTAAGTAGAGTAATACAACTTGGCGTCACAAGTCACTATATTTAATAAGCTAGCTAAGTAACCAGCTAGAATAACCACAGCTGTAGAAACGATTCATTCTACACCATAAATATTTAATTCTCCTTGACTTGTTTAAAAACAGAAGAATAAACAGAGTCTGTGGCACAAACGGCATGGACGGTAAAAGCAGGCTTATCGCTCTTGGCATTTCAGTGCCATTTCTTAAAAGAAGCGAGTCATCAAACAGAGCCAGGATGAATTCAGGTTTACGGAGATTTGTCAACTAATCTCATTAAATGGGCTTTTTATTTTTTAACCAAACGCACACCTTTTGACACGCAGGTGTAACCGATAACAATAAAGACTCAGTCAGTTAACAAGCTGACAACACCAGGACCCTGAACATTCATGTGGCACGCTGGAATAATAGTTACGATCGTAAACTCTCACCACGACAGCCGGGTATTCATTCTCATGTCCCCGATCTCTTAATGAAGCTTACCTCAGAGAAAACACTGATATCATATTGAAATCATTTGTTCAGACATTTATTTTTCCACCATCATCGGTAAGCAGCATCGAAAAGTCTTGAAATTGCATATATATATATAAAAATATGTTCTCAATAAAGCTCCAGATCCCCTGAGTGAAAGTCTCTTTGAGGTACACTTGCGTTACAGGCAATGTTAGCACAGATATGTAGTTCACAGCTTCATGTTTATACGTTTAAAATAGTTTATTTGACACCACATTTTAATGCAATGTCACCGCAACATGCCCATTTATTTAATCATTTCACAACCTGAAATCAGTGCAAACGTCTGAATAGGTCAGTGTGCTGATATCAGCCTCCTCTTGGCAGTTAAATGTAAGATGCAGGAATCTTTGCTTACGTTACATGTTGGGAATTTATCAACACGTCTCGATAGCAGATCCAATGTTTGTTGATCCAAGTTGATGAATCAAAAATCTTTAACGAGTGTTTATCGCGTCTTAACGGTTTCAGGAGTGATTTAAAGCGAACACATTTTCACTGCGGCCTTTGGGTTAATACTATTTCAAAGTCTCAGCATCAACATGACACATTGCCGATTCGCAAACGCGTTTTCATAGCAGAATCACATAACTAGCAACACATCCAGTAACACCTGATGTTCTGCTCTGTGTGCATCTCGTCTAAAGATCTCACCTGAATCTGCGGTAGACAACCTTCAGGTGTCTCAGACGGCCGGTTCCAGTGGTGTTCCTCCTCTTGGCCTTAGCGCTCCAGTTGTCTACAATAAACAAACATCAGTATGCATCAAGGCAAAGCTGGAGAATGTACCAACAAGTGATTCCACTTATGTCTGCACAATGTACCTGACAATACTGCTCAATGACTTTAGCAGTATTATGAGCTCAATGACCTCTGACCGTCTTGTCTCAGTAACAAGAATGAAATCACAGGAAATCATTTGTTCAGACATTTGTGTTTAGAAACATCACTGACAAGACTCAAGAGGCAACAATCACCACTTGATGTTGGATGCAATATCAATTACCCCTGCATGTTTACCGTCCCATTTTAAAGCCAACAGCACACTTGCCAACAATGTTTTGAGTAAAATGGTAGTCTTGTCATTAGGTGACTTACACTTTCTCTTGCGCTTCTCGGGGTAGCCACATTTGCCACAGGAGGACTTCTGCAGGTGGTAGGCCTTGGACCCACAACGACGGCACAAGGTGTGCGTCTTGTTCCGGCGCTTACCGAAAGAGGATGTTCCCTTGGTCTGAGAAGAGAGAACATTAGGAGGTCAAAGACAATTCCCAAAAACACTTCATTCACTTCAGGTCTAAAGCTCTGACCATCTTGTCTCAGTAACAAGAATGAAATCACAGGAAATCATTTGTTCAGACATTTGTGTTTAGAAACATCACTGACAAGACTCAAGAGGCAACAATCACCACTTTAAGTTGGATGCAATATCGATTACATTCTTAGTATTAGGACAACAACGTGTATATAAGTTAATATGACGCCTTCAAAAAGGTAACATCTTGACAAAATACCTGTGCTCAGCTGCATACAAACGTTAGCAGGTTAGCCACAGTTGCATGCTGACAGTGTGTACACTCTGTAAGCACATTCAGCGCTGGACGAAGCGGCTAGCCAGTTATGCTAACCGCTATGGGAAAGCTCGTAAGTTAAACCATTTAGTTTGCTACATTAACAAGACTGATAAAAACAATTCTTCAGTGGTAGCTTGCCGGGTATACCCGAATATGTCCAGAGTTATGTAGTCTTTTCCAGGCTAACTTCGGCCCATTCTGTACCCTGAATCTCAATGCTACGAGTAGCAAATAAACGCTGGATGGATGCAACAGGAACAGCGTTAATCTTACTAAAACGAAGCATCATCTAAAAAATACTTCACCCGAACGGTTACGATGTTTATTCAACATCGAAGAACCAACTATTCGCGTCAGATAAACGACTAATTACACAGATGTTAAGAGATTTCTGTCCGCCAACGTTACAACTTACCATTTTCGTCCAGGGGCTAAGGGAAAAGAGACCGGAAGAGGAATTTGCGGCGCATAAAATCACATCCGTGCTGCTTCCTGTGTAACACCGAAATGTGACCCCGTGTAGCATTTAGCTAAAATGTTCAGCAAAAGGGAACGTTAATTTAATTTCAATGCCGACGCCTGTATTTTCCGTATTTTATACAGCATGTTGACAATATAAACCAATGCCATTATAACAGCCAGGGATTTATTTATGAGGATTTATTTGTTTGTGCGGCAGAAAATAATTACATTTTTAAAAGGTAATTGGTATTTAAGTATTATTTTAGTTGATGGTTCATATTTGAAAACCAGTTTAATCCAATTACAATAAACTAATTGACCTATAGCAAACTGGACACCAGGCAGTGTTCCAGTAGAGAAGTATGAAGGTGTCAAGCTCAATGAAGGTAATTGAGCTTGACAAAATAATTTAACGTAAAGTGGATTTTAGCTGCCTCTCATGTCTTGTGCTTGTTAAATTGTCATCATCATAACGGAGTGCATACTCAGAGATAGGGAGGAAGCGGGGGTCTATGGCCCGCCAGCTCATTTAACCCAGTGCCTATAGCTGGTTAATCCAGCAATGGATATATTCCAAGCTCATGATGACAATTTAAGCTCTAATGGGTGACAAAGAAAATAACCGTGAAGGCAGAAATGAGCATTCCTTTACAGGGTGTCTGGGCTCACTTTTTTTCACGCTTCCTTTTGGAGATATTCTGTGCATGTCCAACTAGGAGGAGCTCTAGGGCAGACCCAGAACATGCTGGAGGGACTATATGCATTCTGGCCTGGGAGTGCCGCAGGTCCTGAGGGCCATGGCTCGAGAGATGGATATCTGGGTTTCTTTGTTTAGCCTTTATGCTCACCAGGTTAAGTGGCAGAAAATAAACCTATGGATGACTAAAACTAGGAATTACATTATTTGTGTTTTCATCTGACTTATAGATGGTTCAGTGATGTGGATTACTTCACACGTTACAAAGTTAATGTGAGTCTCTTAATTAATATGTCAGTAAAAGTGGTATCGATTTACAAACACGCCCACTGCAGGGCAGATATATTCCTAAAATCCCCACATCTCAAGTGTATAAGAGCCTGACACCATTATGACCTGATGGCTCATCAGCTATTTCTCATTTCACATTCACCTACGGCTCTGCAGCTTGTAAAGGTGATGCTGGTGATGCTGCCCAGACTGTCCCGGTGGACTTTGATGAGAGCATTCAAACAGCTGTCAAAGCGGACAGAAATCAATGTCAATACAATCACCAGCAACTGCATTATAAAGATGCACTGACATCTGTCAGGAGTTTGGCTCTGAGGAGGTACTGCTGTCAGGTCATCTGTTTAGTTTGCCAAAATGTTGCTGTTCAGGTTTTAAATTGTCCCCATAGACCTAAAACAGTGAGAGACTGAGACAGACAATAATGCAGTTCATACAATCTTGTGTCTGTCACTTTGACATGAACTGCAAAGGAATAAAGAATAAAGGATAATGCTGAGACATGAAACAAGTTACAGGAAAAAAAAACACATCATGCATTGATTTTACAACAGCATCAGCTCTGAAGAAATTATAATGAGATGTTACTTTTAGATGACGTAATCTATGGTTTAGGGGCAAGTGCTGATACACTTTTACCAGCCTAAGGAGGTCAGGTGAATCAGGTGAATTTAAATGGGCTATTTTAAGAGCTCAGGTGCATTCGTTTAAAGGAGACCATGACCTTGGGTTTTGGCTGAGTGAGGAGCATCTGAAGGAAGCGCCACGCGCCCCCAGCTGCCAGGCTGAGAAAAGGCGCATCCTCCTTCTTTTACATTTCAGTCACGCAGCTTTGCTCAGATTTTGAGATGAAGCATGGAGGATGTGTGTGTGTGTTTTTCTGTCGCAGCTCGCATCAGTGATCTAAAGAGAAAAGAAAAATCGCGCTCGCCATCGATGCCGTTGCTTTATCTGATTTAACGTTTCCAGATCTATTCTAGAGAAAATAATCTTTCTGTGCGCGTTATTTTGGAGAATCTGCATTGCTTGCATCCGACCGAGCGACTGCACCTCGTCGAGACGAGGAGCGCAGCGCATGATATTCGACACAAATCAACAATTTACCGCGGGACGTTTAATGTTTTTACACCAAAATATATGAAAATATAAGAATTATTTCGTCAGAAGTGGACACAGGGCTGTTAATGATTTACAATTGAGGTCACAACTGGCGATTCATTGCGATGCTTATCATCCAACAGCAATGATGCTGCGGTGCGAGAGCATTAACATAGCCTAGAAAGGTGAGGGGCAATGTCCTGTCCAGCGGGTACACGACCCCTGCGCTCCTGGTCCTGAATGCAGCGGAGAGAGACACCTAACCGGGTGTCACCGTCAGCCCTGGATGCTGCGCCGAAGAATGGGATACGCCGACCCATCGTCGGGTAAAGATATACTCGGCAATAGATCTCTTTGTTTTATGTTCCTTTGCGCATTTGGACTCGTCACACTACTGCAGCAGATTCTCTATGGGAAAAACTACATTAAGAGGTAAGTGCCGATTATCATTGTTTAGTCGTCCCTTAAAAAAAGGCAATTATAGCGGCCTTGCTGTTTATAACAACAGTTGTATACACGCTGTATTCATTCAGCTTAAAAAAAAAGAAGCATGCATTCATAGCCTTTTTGTGTGAGACTTATTGAATGATTGAATGGTGAAAAACAGATAATGAATGATAAAAATGATACATTGTTCAGTATAAATGGGAGTAGTCTGGATGAACTATGTCGGGACGCAAGGGGAAAACAAGCTTTCATGGCTGAAAAGAACAATAGCAATTAACCATCCATTTTATTTTCCAGTGGCATAGAAACAACTTCCATTGGATTTCTTTTTTTGATATTTTCTGAAAGCGAAGCATCACATTCATACCATACACAGTGTTCCAGCTGTGTATGGTAATGTTTTCCCTTTCTTTTTGTTTCCCCCCAAAGATCTTTATTTTTATTTTCTGTTTCAGCCTTCTTGACTGGTCGTAGCCTACATCTTACAGAGGCATCAGATTATCACAATGCAACTGAAAGCTATTGGAGCTGATGATGATGATTACTGCTATCGACACTATAAAGATGATGTGTATTTCTTATCGGTCCCTGTTAAATAAATCATTTCACCAGATTGCACCCAGCTCACACACAGCCACTGCAGAGCCATGTTTTATCATACCTCTGCAACAGTACCTGTCTCCCTGATATGGATGGTCCTCTTTCGTACTCATCCACCCGCATTTAATCCGCTAAATTGCAGGCCCCCTTTCATTACATTCTGAGACAAATTTCAGTGCGAGACGAGCAGATGCAGAGAAGCCGGGATGTTTTATCTTTAGGTGGCTAAAACAAAAAAAATATCCCACAAAGAACACCAAATCTCACTCCAAACCAAAAGGAACAATCTGAAAACTTTATCCCCACCTCCAGATATGTTTGCACATATATGTTACCTTCAAAGCAAACATATATGCGCTTCAATCTGAAAGCTCCCCACAGCTGCTAACCCCTCCCCTGCCACCCTGCTGGGCTGGTCTGATGATACTTAATGTGGATTCATGGCATCTCGACCTCTGCGGTGAGATGCATGAATTCAGACCCGACACACACACACACACACACACACACACACACACACTTTCCTTCGCCTGTGTCCCTCTGGGAGTAAGATGGGAACAAGCCACCCAACAGAAAGCAGTGGGCTCATGCAGCGGCAGCCATTTTGCTACAGTCTGTCTGCACACACACCTCAGTGCAAGTGGGGGACAGAGGGGAAGGAGACGGTGAGAGTGAGAGACTGAGAGGGAGTGCTGTTTGTCTGTGTGTGTGTGTGATGCAGAGAGAGAGAGAGAGAGAGAGAGAGAGAAGGGGGGAGGGGGATACGTCATCTTATGACATCTTTTCAAGCGTAAACAAGCAGAAGTCGTTGTCCACATGGGTCAGACCACACCCAACGTCTTTTCCTGCCCAAGCATGAGAATATGCTGGCAAGGTGTTTTTTATGCACTCTATTAAAAAAAACATCTTTGCAAATTTTCAGAGGCGTCGAGGCCAGAGCGGCAGCAGAGGGGACATTTGGATGCATAGATTGGGTGAAAGTTTATCGTAACAGTTTTATCAATCTCAGCTCACTTTGTATATACATCCATCCCACATGACCAGCGGGTAAAGCGCTCTGCTCTAAATGTGTGAGGTCGCACATTAGAGTCAAGTCTAAGTCATGAACAGTGTTGTACTTGATAACTCTGGTCATTGAGTTTCCACGGAGTCACATTGTGGTGTCACATGAATCAGCTCGCTCCCTGCCTTCACTCGCATTAACATGAAGTAGCGGAGAACGTAAGATTGTAAAATGGCAGTTGCTGATTCAAGAGGGAAGCCTATTTTAATTGATCGTAGCCAGTGACACACTTCTGTAAATGAAGACATATTAACTTTCAACTCTCTGTGACTTGAAGAGGGCGATATCTAAAAATACTCCCAGCTAGAAAGAGGAGCACCAAAGGCCAGAGGCTGGTTGTAACCATCCAAAGAATTAGTGGCTTTGCAAGTGGAACTAATGATTTCATTGTCAGTTAATCTGGAGATCATTTTATATAAAACATCAGGAAAAAAAGTTGCACTCCCTTTCAAAACCAAAAATAAACCAATTCTTGCTTGAAAAATGACATACAAACGATTATATTATCAAAATTGTTGGCTTTACAATAAATAGTCTTTTTCTGTACTCGTGACTGTTCATGAGCCTTTCTTGGTGCATTATGTATTGAGGTTGAATTATAAATATCTTTTTTCAGAGCTTTACATGGATTTATTGACTCTAGCACAGCACACGGAACCACTAGTTTATTATTTATAAGACACAGCACTTACATTATTTACAGGAGTGGCTCCCTGTTAAACATAGAGAAGACAAAAAAAGACAAAGACAGCATGCAAAAAAGTACACAATAGCCCACTTTTCGACATCTTATCAGATACCTATAATGCAGTAAGGAAGAAATCAAGAGGAGCTCACATCTATTTTCATGAATACAATTGTTATCTTTGATGTATTGATAAAGACAATGAAGCGCCCATCGTAGGGAGCCCTTATAGTTGTTACAGGAAATACCACGTGACATAATAAATGGACATCTGAGTCAACGTCCAGCCCTTCCCTTAAAACCAGCCGAGTCACAAAATCGAATATAAAAGTCCTTCCTGCTTTCAAGTCACATTAACGGCGCCCAAGGGCAGAATCAGAGCACATCAGTGCAGCAGAGCAACTTTGTGCTTGTTGTTTGTCTGAACTAATGATGAGATTACTGTCTATACTGTGCTCATAATTGAGCCAATGGGAGATAAATGGAATCTTAATGTTTGACTTGAAGACCATGGATTGACCTTTGAGTCAATGGGAGCCACATGAGACTGATTAGGGTTTTATTGGTAGCCACACTATTGGAAAATATCCAATAATATATGTGTTATTGATCAAATCAAGCTTTCACAGGCACAGTGTTTTGGTGATGATTAAGATTAATGGTTTTAAGCGATAGAAATTGCACCGGTTTGATTAGCTTTTCTGTATAACAGCTGTCCTCTTGTAGGCACACATCCCAAACCGAGGAACATGGTTCTGATTTTAACGTGTTCTGCTCAGTATCCGGTTACAGGGTGTTATTGAGGTGTTGAAGAGAATGCTCATGAGTCCCCGACGATGAATACTCGATCACATAATGCACCCAGAAAGGCTCTCTGGGTTCAGTTTCCCTGCTGAATTTTGCCCAACACCCACAGAGCACTCTCAGAGATTAGTCACACATGAATACTTGCATAATAATCAGTCGCTAACGAGGAGAAGTTGTCCACCCACTGATATCTAGATGGACTGTGACTAGTCTCTTCACAATGGAAGAACTCCCAACCTTTAATATGTTGATATTAGATTCTAAACTTATTGTCAACAAATCCCATGAAAAGATCAAAACCACAGCTAGGCACAGCTATCCTGACTTTGCGTCCTGCTTAAAAAACATCAGATGCTACATTGCTGATAATGCAGCCATATAACCATCACGCTTCAGTGAAACGAAAAGAAGAAGTATAGACACGGACATGTTTTTGTTAAAAATGTATGGTCAATTATTGTGCCGCTATTGAAATCACTTCAAAATATCTAACTAAAAGTCTAACACTCCTGCAGGCCAATATTGCAGGGTGTGGGTGATTGAACCACACTGAGGATAGTGGCAACAGCCCGGCTGAGCATAAAGGAACCATTCAAACCATGATGTCATTAACCGAGAATTCATTCTAACCATTTTGATGTCATACTTTGACTTGTTTTTCTTGAGCCAAAAAGCTGGTCCCCCTTATTGTATATCTGTGTGTGTGTGTGAGTGTGTGTGTGTGTGTGTGTGTGTGTGTGTGTGTGTGTGTGTGAATGTGTGAATGTGCAAATTTGTGTTGGGCTTGGTTGTATGTGTTTGACTTTTTGCACAGTAAGGACAATAAATCACAAATAAACTGATTCATTTTCTTGCTAGTGCGCAACAGTTTAGCCGACTCAAAGGGGACGAGACAGGAAATTGGACCGGTCCCGTTAATTTCTCGGATGATGGATCTCTGAAGCCTGCCAGAAATGGAAGGAAAAGGTACCTTTCCATAGTGACCTTCTGCACAACACCTCTGAGAAAAGAGAGTGCAAGAGAGAGAGAGAGAGAGAGAGAGAAAAAGAAAGAGAGAGAGAGAGTGTGAGAGAGAGAGTGTGAGAGAAAGAGAGCGAGAGAGAGCGAAAGAGAGAGAGAGAGAAAGAAAGAGAGAGAGCGAGAGAGAGAGAAAGAGCGAGAGAGAGAGAGAAAGAAAGAGAGCGAGAGAGAGAGAAAGAGCGAGAGAGAGAGAGAAAGAGAGAGAGCACAAGTTTCAAATACATCTTAAAGTGACGACCCAGCCCTGCATGTGTGGACTGGGCCGCTGTTACGTGTACAGCAGTCTACTCAGATAATTTAGAGAGAATAAAAGCTGCAGCACATGTACACTTTTTTGCTCTATACTTGTTTTAAAATCTGCAGGTTTAGGAAGTTAGCAGGGGTGGTGATGTCACAGCACATATTTAACACATATTTAACTCTAACTTAACCTGTCTGCATGTTGACAGATGTTTCCGTCAGAATTTTCAGCCAGATTCACAGATCTCCGTAATAGTCACACCCTGCCTAGCTGATATTAAGAAGAAAAAAAAAAGGTAGGACAGTTTGAAGGCATTTTTAGTATTTTCACAGAAACCCAAGAATGCCTCTTTTTTTTCATTACTCTGAAAGGTATAAACTCTCATATTTTTTCAGTGGTGGTTGCACTTCAGATTTGCTCTTGCATGTTGTCTGATCCCGTCCACCTCGACCCCAGATCCCCATCCCCCCTTCAGAAGCTGGTTGAACCACGGTCTCCTGTTGATGTACTGGCTTCTCCTCGTACGTCTGTGTCCCATCCAGCACCCATCTCCGAATGCCTTGTCCTCCTCAGTCTGTGTCTCATGTGTCCTGCACAGCTCTGTGTGTATGCCATATACATAGTGTGGACACTTCTCTCTGCTCCCCCTATCTCCCCTTCTCACATCTGCATTGTCTCTCTCTGCGACCTGGATTTACGCCCTTTTCCACTTTACTTTCCTTGTTACAATAAGACAAAAAGGTGCCAGATTCTTTCCCCCCCAAAAAAAGCTCAAAATTGCGCTGAGCAGTAGATGTCAGTGTCTGTGGTAAAATGCTGGTTAGTCTTTCTCATTCTGCATTGGTTTTGAGCCAGCATTGTACGATTAACCCTAAAATGCCCCATGAGGTGAAATTCATCTCGTCAAGTGAATTGCTGTCTTGCTTTTAGAACTGAACAGAGAACACTTGCAAAGGTTTCATCATCTTAGCTAAAACAAGCATGAATAGAATATAAAACAGATGCTTCTCTCAGTAAAACCTCGGAAATACACTGCATCATCAGGTGGATGTAGACAACCAGTTTCATTGTTCCTTACGACTTCATCCAAGCATCTTGTTCCTTTAATGCATCTCTGCATTGTATTGCTCGTTGTGTTCATTTCTTATTATTATTATTAGTTGTTTTGTTTTTGTTTTTAACTCGCCTCGTTTGCCTCCACAGCCAAAGTTAATACTCTGCAATATTATCCATCTTCCAAAACACCACACTCCATCTTCTCTATCTGATGTTACAAAAACCAACGTTCATTCTTACAAATGCAATTGCTGCTATTTTAGAATTAAATTGCGCCACTCTCCGTCAAGCATTATACATTATACATTATACATGTAAATTTGAAAAATATATTATGACATTTAGAGCTTTCCGAGATTCAGATATATCTCAGAAGGGGTATATTTTGAAACCATGATAACTGTAGATATTGCTGGTTTTAATAAAAGTAAAATTAGCTGTATCGATTCATATCTTTATTTATATAAAACAAGTTCATTTACAGGAAATGCCGCCAGAGAGAGATGACTCTAAAAGGAAAATTATAGATCAGAGCTAAAGAGAGAAACCCTTTGGGGGTGTATTGTCAGTTTTGACAAAATCATTTGGCTGATATAAATACTTAATGTATACGTACTTCTCACATTTTAGTGCCTGTTTATAGCCTCACGCCTCTGTAGCAAAGACAAACAATATTGTATTTGCATGCAATTTCAAACCATTTCAAAGGTTGTTTCAAGGCTTTCAAGGCAAAGTCATATTTTGAAGCACTTATTTTAGTCATAGCAATTTAATTACATTTTCTATTTAGTATTTTGCTTTAACTTGATGTGTTGTAATTTTACACTTAATCAAATTGGTAAAAAAAATAAATGCAATAGATTTGATCCGTCCAGAATTTGGAGAAACATTTTGATTTGTAGTATTCATTAAGCACATTAATCAGCACAACATTAAAGCAGGACTATGTGACGTTTGCTGAACGGCGGCCTCTGCGGCCACACGTGGAATTTACAAGTTAATGGTTCATTGAATTTGCCTTCTGGTTTATCTGTGACATGTTAAAGTATAATGTTACACTTGCAAAAAAACTACCCCCACAAACACACACATTTTATGAAGACTGCACTCGAATTGCATGTAAATACAATATTGTGCTGCAAGAAATGAGGCAACAGTGCACAGAAAAATGGCAACTTAGTGAAACTTTGATATGAATTTTCAAATCCACCAAAAACTCAGTCACAACTCAAAACAGACATTTCATTTTGTTGATGTTGCCATTTCAATATAATGATTCTAAAATATATTCATCAGATTCCCCAAATCTAATTGTTTACTGACAAATAATATTACTTTTGTGCAGTTATTATACATTATATAAATGTATTGTTCTGCCTCACACAAAAGCACAGACCCTCTCATACTCATATCGGACACCACACTGCTATAGCTAACGAATCCACCATTTAACCCCTTTTCTCTTTCAGACTGTTTTCTGTTACTCTTCTAAATTGATAAACAGCATTCATACACATTTTTAATCACAGGATGCCGACATTAAACCATGCAAGTTTTCATCATAACCAATTAAATAAGCGAAAATATGAGAGGTATTACTTTTCTTCAGTTAGTGGATCACGTTGGTTTAGACTAAGATGTAATAGAATCTGGTGCAAGTGTCCAGTGAACCGTATGCTCGTATCCTGTCTGTGACGCCTGAAATCAGTTGCATCACTTCTGTCATTTGTCATCCCACAATGCCACACTGATATTCTAGTATTTCATTAAGACATTTTGTAGTAAATGTAAGCTATTTCCTTTTATTGTTTTCTTTCAACACACAGTTTTTTTATATTGCATTTTATCTCCACATTTTTCAATTCAATTCTGTTGATTCTCTTGTGTGTGGAGAGGTGAAGGCCGAGGATGACTGTGTCTATCCCTCCAGGTATCTGGAAAGCTACGATGGCTCATATGAATACAACTCCACTGCATGCAGGGAGCTCAGACAGGAGATTATGGACGTCAAAGTCTTGACAATGTGAGTGGTCATTATGACGTGGCCCGCACGTGAGGGGGACAACCTCACTTAGAATAACATGTTTTTTTTCCTTAAGGTGATCCACAAGCTCCTATCAGGTTGGGAGAAAATCCCCCACTTGATTGATTGTCCACTGCAAATCCCCAAAGCGTACGAAAACAAAGAGGCGAGAACAACACTGACATCTTCTCACATGACATCCATTTTATTGCCAACATTTTACAGCTGAAAATTGTCACTCTCAACTATAAATAACACATTATTACATCATGGAGTACATGAGTGCCAAGATTAATTAAACCCCTCAATGAAGTGGTTGTGCTCGCTGAAATTTGAGCCGCACATTTCGTCTTGTATGAATGTGAACATTGTCCAGTGACCTTTTGTGCATGTCCCTCAGGATGCCAAACTTTAATGTCAGACGTGTTCTGGGCACTTGACGAAGGGCCATCAGGCAGAGAACATCTGCTGTCATTGTGCCACACAGTCCGAGTAATGGTGCCACGCTGCCTCCCAGAGAAAATCACAACTCCCAATCATCTCAAAGGAGGAAATGTCAGCTCAAGGACAAGCTATTTACAGACATGCTTGATGAAGCCACTGTCTTCATTCTAAGAGAAGTGCAGATCCAGCGGCGCCAGTAGAGCCAGCACAGAATAACTACTGCAACTACCCCCCTGTTTGTGTTATTGAGCCGTTTTTATGTTTCTTCAATTTACTACCCTTATAGAAACTTTAATCGGAAAATACATGGCCATGGATATCCTTCCTCATTCCACAAGTCTCTCTGCCTGTCTGCCAGGGTGAAAACTTCAGATCTGTTTGAGAGATGGCGAAACCTGCAGGTGTGTAGATGGGAGCAGAACAAGGAGGAGGCCGGCAACTTCAAGTAAGCATTACTGAGTCTCAGCAGAGGTACATCTGAATGTCCAGATTTCTTTTTAAAGTCACTTTTCTATTATTTCTTCACATTGTCTCTGTCATTTTGTGCTTTAAACAGCACAAAAACATACTTTACATTAATGTATCACTTTTAGATATTAAAATTGTATATGAATGGCATATCCAGGTTTAACTGAAGATATGTTTCAGTTGGAAGTGTCAGAGACTCCAGTTGTAAAACTGTGGGTTTTCATATTCTCCATATCTGTGATGGGTGTTGGCAGAACCTTTTATGGATGACCACCATATTGTGGATGTATTTTTATTTCTGTTAATGGAGTTAAATAACAGTTTGTTCATAACTGCAGATCTAATTCACCCACTCATATACTAGCGTCATAGGGTATCAAACTGTACAGTTCTTCACCTGTAAATTACTTATTGACAAACAAATATAATATATATCTGTGTTCATGCACAGCTATTTAACATAATTTAAACATGAAATATGTTTATTTATTGTAATAACAATGCTTTCGGGTCAATTTTGTTCTTTGTCACCGAATGTGACAAAATCCGAATGTGAAATCCCAGTTTGTGGAAAAGAGATTGATCACTACTCTAATACTTCTTTATATAACATATTGGGTTTTGTAAAGATCGAAAGAAAAGAGAAACAATTATTACCAATAAACTAACTCCCTCCTCTCTCTGGTGTTCTCCTGAAGGATGTCTCTGTCTCGCTGCTGTAATGCTCCTTCCTTTCTGTTCACCACCAAGAGGAACACTCCTGCAGGGACCAAACTGAGGTACGAGGTAGATACCAGTGGTATTCTTCCCATTTCCACCGAAGTCTTCAAGATGTTCCCAGATGTGAGTTCAGCACCTGTTTATGAGTGTTCGCTATGTTCCTCCATATTGGCTTTTGTTATTCTACCATTGGTCTGATGCCACTAAATCTATCTATTAGAGTTTAAGAGCCCACAATTCTGTATGTCTGAATTTAACACAACGCGTCTGCTTCATCCAGGATATGCCGTATTCCAAATCGCAGTACAAGAAATGTGCTGTTATTGGAAATGGCGGCATCATCAAGAACACCAAATGTGGAAAGGAAATTGACTCAGCAGATTTTGTGTTTAGGTATACAGGATAAAATCCTTCCATGTTTGTTATTGCTGTCTAGGAATAAAACGTGGACAATGCCAACAGAGCATGCAATCACCCAAAAAGACTTATCCCATCAATAGAAAATCCTGTAAAATTACACTTGATCTTTTGCCTGTGTTACAATACTCTTGCAAGTGATTTACTGTATTTACACATCAAGCTTTCTTTCCTCGCACAGTACAGTTTACAGTGATATTGGCAGATTTACCTTTTAAAATTCGTACTAATTTTGAAACCCTGATTTCAGACTTAGAAAGACAAAGGCAGGCGTCCTATTTCTTAATTTGTACTTGAATAGCATGCCTGCTATTACTTGCTGAATTTTTTTTCATTGCTGGCTGATTTTATCAGCTAGCGATTTTTAAGCTAGCGTTAGTTTGGATAAAAACACTTTCACTGACTTTTTAATGTTTCAAGCTGACTTGTTTAGAAATGTGAATGCTGTAAAAAGGTCTTAAATGTGCAATCTATAGGTCTACTAGTCCACCCACCCAAAGCTCGACAGGCTTTTGGTGTCCTAATCCTAGTTAAGGTTGCTAAGCTATGATATGATGATTGCTGTTGAGGGGAGGGGTTTAGCAAACATTCAGTCAAGTTTGATTTATTGTAGAAACCCAACTCCTGATCACTACCAGATGATTAATAGTGCAGGCCACCAGCATGCCTGTGTCAAGTTAAATCAAATACATTTAAACTCCGTTATCAGTGGACTTGTACTTTCTTCTTTGCAGGTGCAACATACCACCCATCAATGAGAAGTACTCAGCTGATGTTGGCACTAAAACAGATCTGGTGACAATAAATCCGAGCATTATTACTGAGAGGTACTGTAATTAAAGGTCTGAGCGAGAAATCAGGCCTTTCTCTCTCTTTCTTTCTTTCTTTTTCTCTCTCAATCAGTCCTTCTCTTTTGGCTTTTGCCATCTCACGTTTCACTTCCTCTGCAGATTTCAGAAGCTGGAGAAATGGCGGCGACCCTTTTACGACGTCCTACAGAATTACGAGAACTCCTCAGTGGTGCTTCCCGCCTTCTACAACACCCGCAACACTGACGTATCTTTCAGAGTCAAGTACATGCTGGATGACTTCGACTCCCAGCGAGGCGTCTTCTTCTTCCACCCGCAGTACCTGCTCAACGTGCAGCGTTTCTGGGCGGTGCAGGGCGTCCGGGCCAAGCGGGTCAGCAGCGGCCTGATGCTTGTGACCGCCGCCTTGGAGATGTGCGAGGAGGTCCACCTCTACGGTTTCTGGGCGTTTCCCATGAACCCCTCTGGCATCTTCATCACTCACCATTACTATGACAACGTCAAGCCGCGGCCGGGCTTCCATGCGATGCCCCATGAGATTTTCAACTTCATTCACATGCATACTCGTGGGATCATCAATGTGCACACGGGGCCGTGCACGTGATCGCCCACTTCTCTGCTTTAACATGGTTGACCTTTTAGTTACAGGTTGTGTTCTATTTCAGTAAATGAGACACTTCACCATTTCAAAACAGAGAGTCGGCCTTCAGAGCGTACACTTCTCTGCACGTATTCCACGACACAGTGAAGGTGGCCCACTTTAACTGCCGACATACTTCTCTTTTCGATGTGTACCTTAAGATGTCTACTTAGCCAATTAAATCACCACGGTTGTCTCCGACTCTCTAACCATAGGATGCTTGTTTTTAATGTGAAAAGTGGTCTTCATAGTGATGTTGTGTCTGTGAAGTTTTCTAGTGGCTCTGCTGTACAGAGGTGTTTCTACTCAACATTGCACAGATATTTACGCTGAAATGGGCCGCAGTGGGTGTCTTTGTGCCCCCTCATTCCCCCTGTCTTCTCTCGTTATCTTGGACACTCTGTGGGTGTGGCAGCTTTTAATGTTTGTGTAAAACAAAACCTGGACTGTAGTATTAAGCTAATATTTGAAAAAAAAAAGATAAAATTCCAACATCTTATTGTCTACTTTTGTAATCTATTTCCTATTCACCAGATTCACTGGGTGAACATTTTAAAAACACTATTGACATGGCCTGTTTTCAGGGGCCTACTCTCTACTAATTAAAGACATCCTCTGGTATTTCTGGTGAAGAAAGTTGTGCATGCAGAGGCGAGGATGTTTTTCCCCCTTTTTCTTTCTTGGCTTGTCATGATTTTGGACAAAAACTAGATTAATATTTCAAAATGACACCACGTGAGCAAAACTCGATGCCGTCCAATTTGTAGAGCAACATTGTACTCGCAGTACTGTTGGAAGCGACCCAGCGTCTCGTTGTCATTCATGTCTTAAGCCATGCTGCCTTATGAGATATCGAACCCCTCTACATGATATGCAATGCACCCGTGTGTTTTGCTTATCTACAAATACATTAACATCAAACTAAATTGTAGTTTTATTCTTGAATCAAAGGATGTTTAAGACTCTCTAAGGTACATAAATTCATGTGCGGCTCTCGGCTTATATTCTATTGCAATTAGCGAAGTCTTACCCCCCCTGTAAAGTCCATTCATAATCATGTAACGCTCTGCATGACTTTACTCTATACTTGGCTTTGTGTGTGCCTGCTTCAATGATCACTGAAATGTTTACACATAAGCCTCCACTGGAGCTCACAGTGCTCTTGGAGATATATACACAAACACAGAGAGAAGATAGGATTCGTTGAATTGTACAATAGCAGACCCAGTTCTTATTGATCAGACATGCACGAAGATGGTTGCTGAACTTTTTGTGAACTTCTACGACACTTTCATTTCTACTGTAATGTTTCCCCTTACCATTTGAAATGTGGACATTCAGCTTGCACTCCAGAAAGCATCGTGCATTCACGCACTGGAGAGCTGTGATGGTTTTTACTGTTTATTTAGTTTTACACTGCAAAAGGTTTTAAGAGGCTGTAACATAATTCTTAATTTCTCCTCTGTTCAACCTCTGCTCAGCACTTCTCCATTAGTTCTTTGTGTTTGAGGGACATCGTTGCTGACAAGATGTATGTTGTTTATTTCACGATTTATACAGACTATTTGTGTTTATGCACAAGAGATATGAGCAAATATGAACACCAAATGTTTTGGCTTGACCACTAAATTGTTGCACAGACACAACTGAATCAAGAATGGCAAAGGAAGGGAACTGGTCTGTGTACTGAAAAGAGGTCACGGTTAACAGTGCTTCTTAACTGACTCTGGATCATTCTTTATAATGGTATTGTGTTTGTAAATAAACTTGTTTGGATTTTCTCACTTATGTTTATGGATTCATTATTATTGTGTGTGTACATTTGTGTGTGGGGGAAAGCACAGGAGCACACTGCTGCAATACTCGAGCTCATTCATTACATATTAAAATAATACTGCCACAAATAAGAACAGGCATTCATATGCTGCCTGATTTACAAAATGTCCTGCTAACCACCACATGCTGCGCTTGTTGTGGCCACAGAAGACACACGATGCTGATTTAACAATCTCATTTTAGATCAGTTAACCTCTGGTTTGTCAACGCCTCAATTATTAAGCAGCGGCCGGGTGTCAGTGTCCTCTCACTGACTGACTCAGCAAACGATGGCCGGGAATATGGCAGATCATATCTGAGTAGATCTGTGGCTGTTGAGGCCAATTCAATTTCTACTGTTGGCGAGCACAAGAAAGGTGAATTAATCCAGTTAGAAAGATTTTAAATGTTAAGTGAGAATATAGACAATTATGTTTTTTGGTTGGTGGTCTGCAAGACATAAGAACTAGAAGGGCACTTGAGAGCGCAGACTTCTAAGCCCATGCCCCATCTCCCTATTTTCATGAAAACTAAAACTAAATTGTGTATCTGCCCCGTGATTCAGATCGGCTCCAAAAATGTAATGCGTACTTCCTTGTTTTATGAAAATCGGGCCAGTAGTAGTAGGCCTAGTCAGTTTTTCTGACAAACTAATCGAACCGAAAACAACCTCCTTGGCTTGGCAGAGATAATTATTAAATCTTATTACATGAATGTTGTTAAATGTGATTAGTTTGATTCCTCTGTGCGTGGGTCAAATGAGGTTTGACTCTCTGCTGTCATCCGTAGGTTGGGTAATCTGATGTTGAAAGATCAATATGACCAAAGTGTGCCCTTCCCCTCGATACCTATCGGGTGACAGGTGGCAGCAATAAGACTAATGGGATGATTTGGCTCACAGGTGCAGATGAGTACGCCAGTGTGATAGAACTGAAACGAGAATTTGCATAGAGGAATTTGTGCTATTATAAAAACAGTGTTGCAAGACTGAAGTCAGAGAAATATGAATCTATTGTCTTTCTTACTTTGAATGTTGATATAGTATTAGTCCATGGTAATGTAAAACTATGCTATTGATTTTAGGGTTTGCTTTGTATTTTTCAACACTTTCACTCACTATAAAGCAATAAGGTACTGCAAAAAACATTTTTTACCAAATACCTCAGTTTATAGAGTGCAACATCATTTAAATACAGGTACTTCTTAAGACAATACTACACTTTCATTGGCCCTTCAAAGGAAGTTGTTGTGATTGTAAGGAATGACTGCATTAGACAGCATTATGCTAAGCTAAGCTAAGCTAAACTACGCTAACCTAACCTAACCGCCTGCTGGCTCTAGCTTCATGTTGAGTGCACTTACATGATAACTGAAACAAGAACGCATATAATGAAGGCATTGCTTCAGGCCTCTGCAGACTGAGTCGAGCGTGTCGTACATGGCTCACTGAATGCAATTCATCTTTGGACAACTGAACTTTTCTTCACTTCCTGGGAGTTAATGAGCTCGAGCGAATAGCCCACAGGAACCACGCCACTCAAATTGTGTACGTTTTTTCTCCATTTTAACTTATAACACCAATAACGTTGCCTTGCATGCGAGTCCACCTGTGTGCGTGTGTCCCTATGACTGCAAGAGAGAGGCCTAATGTCGAGGTGGAGTAACTTGAGGTTGCAGCTACAGCTGGCTAGTTGGCTTATTAGCTAGCATGCTAACTTCTTTTTGCATGCTTTTTCTTTAACTGTTGCACTCTATATTCAGTTTTACATGTTTGACAGTTTCAGGTTAATTACATTGTGTGCATATTCTATTGCACTTAGAGTAAAACATTATTATAAATATAATTATTTAATGAATAATTGCAACCACTGCACATAAATACAGAAACATTTTTTTTCATAAAATAATTACTTGATTAATAATTACCACCTTTGCACATAGAGTTAAAAAATATCCAAGAAAATCATAAGATACACTCAATATGTTGCCAGTCATGCATTTATCTTACCTTAAATATGATTTATACATGGAGCTACACTTTCTATTAGAATAAACAAAGAGGAGTAGTTGTAAGGGAGGGATACTTTGTGTGTGTGTGGTAATGTCTCTGTCTGTCTACCTGTCTGTGTGCGTGTGACTGCAGGTAAAAGCGAGACGCCCCCGGCTCGTAAAGCGATCCTAACACCATGAATAATGGAGGGTGCCGTGGCAGAGAGGATAAGTTCTCGGTGGAAGGCTCCTTTTTCACAAGGCTTTCTCCCGTGGGTCACGTGAGTGCTGAAGTGATGGTCATTTTTCATGAGTAGTGTATGTTAGTCATATGGCCATATACCGCCCAGGTAGGAGATGTCCCGATAGCCATTCCACCTTCTGCGTGTCCTGAGTCTGTATACCTGCAGCAGCACACACCCATGCTGCCACGAACCCCACGATCCTACAACCTCTCTGCAGCCAAGGGTCAAATGAATTGTCTTACACCATTAGAAACTCAAGGCAGCACTTACGAAACTAAAGGCCAGGGAAGTGGATGAATTAAAGATGCCGTCCAAACAGAAAAAATCCACAGCTTCAGAAGAAAGCAAAGAGGTTGATGACGAAGTGGAGGAAACGGAGCCAAAACCAAAGGAGAGTAGCAACGGTGTGACCCGTGGGGACACCACAAAAGGAGAGAAGAGTCGGAAGAAACACAAGAGCTCCGAGAGCTCCGAGAACCAGGAGGCCCCAGAGAGAGAGAAGAAGAAGATAAAAGAGGGTGAAACAGGAAAAGAGAAAAAGAAGAAAAAGAAACCAGATGATGGTGTTGAAGCTGGTGCTGTGATTGAAAATGAGGCTGAGGAGGGTGAGCAAAACAATAATGACCCCACGACCAATTCCAAAAAGGAGAAATCAGGGAAGCTCAAAGAGGAAGTGACTGAGGTAGCGAAGGAGGAAAAGAAGAAAAAGAAGAAGAAATCCTCCACAGAGAAACCAGAGGGAGAGGAGGAGATGGGATCCAAGGATAAGAAGTCAAAAGACGAAAAGAAGAAGAAGAAGTCTCACAATGATGGTGATGAGGAGCCCTTGATTGAGGAGCAGGAGGAGGAGGAAGACTCTAAGAAAAAGAAAAAGAAGAAGGCAAAGAAGGGGTCGGTGGACAGTGACGAAGATAAAAAGAAAAAGGGGAAAAAATCCAAAAATAAACAGGTGGACTATGGCGTGATGTACCAGAACGAGCTGCTGAACTACCACACAGATTCATCCGATGGATACGAGGATGAGTATTACAAAAAGAAAGGTAAGGGTTTGACATTGTAGAGCAGACAGAGAAGCCCCACAAGTTGTATTTCAGGTAAGTCTCAGTTTCATGACATAATGTATTCACCAAGTCTTGAATACAGTTTTCCTCCAGTTCCCTTCAGCTCAGAGCCGGAGCACCCAGGGGAATCACTCTCTGATTGTTCTTGGGTGAAAGCTCAGTTATGTTCCACATGAATGGAGCCAAACAGAAGCTCGGGGGCAGACAGGTGCTGGGTGCCGTCCCAGTCTCCGTGGCTGGGAGAACCACCGGTGGCCAGAGGCAGGGCCGGGAGCCAGAGGAGCTTTCTTAAAGCACATCACAGGGAACCAAATCCTGCAGGAGGCTGCCAAATAGTTCATTTTTGTTTGGTTAGGGGGGAAAGGGAACTCCGGATGATTTATGGGATAGATCAAGAAAGATGTAACAACCCGAACAAATTCAAATTTTGACAGCTACTTGTTTAGGTGACAAAATTGAGTAGAACATAGCTGGTAAATATGGTAAATTCTTTTTATTGAAATTACTTTAATGTAACTTTGGTTCTGAGCTGAGTTTGATCCTAACATTCAAAAGCATTATTCGGTTGAAAGTTTCCTGCATGAAATTAAACCAAAACCACATTCTCTCCTTAATTTCACTGTAAGGGCTTTTGTTGCCTAAACAAAGGAATTAAAACTCAAGATGCGAACCCAGGTCTCTGGCATCAAAGTTTTGTCTTTGGAAACATATTTGCATTAGTAGTGTATATAAATGCAACTTCTTATGAGACGGGGTTGCCATACAGGAGCGTTTGGAAAGTGCAGCACTCGGCTGTATCAAAATGTGTTTGGAATGAGGAAATTGCACATAAAAAACGTCTGAACTTAAAAGCTCTTCCCCCATCTGACAGAGGGAGTGCTGCAAATGTGACATTTTCATGTATTTTCTAGCATTCTCACTGCCAGATAATTGCTCCCATAAAGTAGCTGCTCAAAGCGAATGTGCTATCAGCCTCTGGTCTCTGTGCAAATTACGAAAGGAGCAGTAAGTGTCATTATTTAGCATCAGTAGCAGTGACACATGCCTGTGTGTCTCTTGCTTCACTGGCTCACTCGGGTCTCTGACACTCCGAGGAGTTTATCAAGGCTCAGTGTCTATCTGATTCTATCAGGTGTCTCTCTTTCTCTTTAATCTGGTCTTAATAGCTCTGCTCACTGTTAATTAGATGTCCGTGTCCCTGTTGCATCGACTTTGGTTTAAATTGCTCTCTATCAGGTCTCTGCCGCTCCTTTCCTCCTGGAGCTGTTTTTAGGTAATCTGTCTGCTTCTTCTGCGTGTCTCCCTCATTCAATATCCTCTACTTCCAGTTCCGTTATTCATTACTTGATGGATGTTTTTTATTAATTCATTTTAAATTATGTAAACATTTTTACACTTTCAGTCCACATTAAGTTTTCACCCTGGAGGTCTTCCAGCCTGTGAAAACACAGTCTCTCTGTTCAGACTGTACACCACTTTATTCTCTTTCTGTCTCTCGCTGACTAAGTTTGACTCAAAGTCCCAGACAGCGTCCCATACCTGCAGCCTATCCAGTCTATCTTACATAACCACAATGCAGCAGGACTATAGAATTACCACTGTATAAACTAAGCTACTGAGTCACAGTCCTACTGAAGATTTAATGTTGTTACCGAAGCTCAAACACAGGTGTGA